GTGGACATATGAAACAAAACAGCGGATTGGAAAAAATAATAGCAGAAGCTATGGTACCAGGAAGGAGAGCAGGGGCTGACCAACATGAAGATGGGCACAGGATATGAGTGGCTACTGGAATATGCAAGTACATAAAGCGGGAGAGCTGACGAGAGACTGAGTTTCTTTGAGGCAGACCGTGATGAGGGCGACGTTCAGTGCCCATTTTTTGCTCGACTGACTTGGGAGCTCAGGTTATTGATTTAAAGGGCGTTAATAGTAGGAGTTAGTTCCACGATAATCTACCCAGCCGAACTAGGTCGCGTTCCATTAATACATTTTTTTAGACTCGTCTGCTGTCCGGGAGGTTACGGCTATGTTGTTTTCTTTCTGGCTTGTCTTGCATTTGCGTGTGTTTTTTTTTTTCGGGAAAGAAATTGCCTGTGACATAGGTTGCAACACTCTCTATGGGGTTGTGTGTTAGACCCAGTTTGTCCATGTTTTGCAGAGTTAAAAGCGCTGGCGTGCTGAAATATATAATAAACGCTATATCCAAGGCATTGCGGAACACCCCCGTAGCAGTGTGCGAAGGCCACGAGGCTCAGGAACTACCAATCAGAAAGGAGCTAGTGTGTATATGAGCGGGCTCTAGTGGGACTAACGTGTAACTAATGTGTGTCGATAATATCGTGAGGGAAAATACAAAGGAAGGTAACCTATGCTGAGGTATACCATTGTCCCTAATTGAAGCCAAAAATCGTTTCTCTGTCATTTGGCTAAGATCCACGTGTAGCTCTGCTAGACTGGTCTGGCCAACGGGGCTGGGGTCAGTCACAAACCAAGTCACGGGTGAAACCCAATCGACAAGAGCCATCTAAATTCATACCGAGCGGTTTCTCCGTTTAGCCTGGATTGCGACGTAATATTCTTCGAGAAGTGGGGCGGCCAGGCTGGACATTTTGGAGACCGACCCGGTAAAAAAACAAAAAAGCCAACAATTAAATAGAGTGTATGTATTAAACAGAAAGGATACGGTGGAGATGTAAGTAAAAGGACCTTTTTCCACACCTTCAAACGGATTGGGCTAGACCTATATTTATATAAATCAGTCGGTGTGTAATGTGGTCGAACAGCACACTGGCCGCATTTATTTTCCAGGTCTATACCTGTAACTCACTCAAGCCTGGTCATTTATAGATATTAGACGGTGTGCGAAGGTACTGTGCAACAGAGACAGCGGGTGACAGAGAAAAATGTATGTGGAAAGCTTTAACTGCAAGATAATTGTGAAATATAAGCAATAGGTAAACCGAGGTAATGTGGCCATGTTAAACATCATGATGGACTGGGAAGAACGATGATTGAGGGTATTGTTTCCGGAAAATAAAGCAGCTGTAAACATCCGCGAAAATGGATACAGGACAAAAAAAATGTATTGGCTACGGAACCACATGGGGCTGGAGAAATGGTTAGAGAAAGGGAGATTTAAGGCGTACCTTGACGAGAGCGACGTTCTGTGACGGATCTGTTGGTTGCTGATAAGCAATACGTATGTCATACAAATATTGAATGCCAAATATGTTTGGAGATAGCCAAAGGCTTCTCCCGACTGGAAAAGAAAGGAGTCGTCCGAAACATGTTGATTCTTATCGATTGATTTTTTAACTGTACCAATGGCTAAATAAAGCCAAACATAATTATTGATTGATTTTTAATTGTACCAATGGCTAAATAAAGCCAGACATAATTATTGATTGATTTTTAATTGTACCAATGGCTAAAAAAAGCCAAATACAACACATAACTGGTTAAAACACTGACCAGATTCAAAGAAAGGGAAGAAAGCAGGTAACTGCTAACCCTATCAATAATGAAAATAAATTCAAGTACAGGAGAAAAGCACTGCAACTTCTCTTACATTCAGACATTGTGATAAGATCCTGTGTCAAAAACTGGGGATCTTTCATGAAACATGAATGGCAAGGGGGGTAAATCGAGTGCACCAGAAGCTTCAACCACCGAGGGACCAAAACCCTACATTCAAGATGCAAACTATCAAATGTGGATGTCACGACTTTATATTTGCAAAGTTACTTGATTTTGCTTTATTGTCGCTCAGTTAAATTCTTTATTAACGTGTGTGTACATAGCTGGGGGAAGATGTGTTGTTATTATCATTAATATCTAGCATTACGGTAATAATACGAATGTCTATTCCTTGCTTTCTGATAGCGTGGTGAGTTGTGCGTTCAGAAATAACCGCCAATTCCCATGTTCACAGAATGCAAAGCAAAGACCTTTCAGTCGTTATTCTGCAGTTTAGAATCATGTCTTCTTCATCATCATCATCAGTTCTCGTTATGCCTAGTGGCACATGAGGCTTCAGAGAGGACTTTCCATGCGTTCCTGTCCTGTGCAATCTTCAATGCAGTTTTCCATGTCAAAAATGCCGCACTTAGGTCACTTTCTATCGTTCGTCTCCATGTTGTTTTTGGGCGCCCCTGTTTTACTTTCCCTCTGGTGTCCATGTGAGAGCTGTTTTGGCAGGTATATCAGAAGTCATCTCATAACGTGGCCAAGCCATTTCCATCTTCTCTTGGTAATCATACTGTCTAAAGTTTCTTGGTTTAAGGTTTGAAGTAGTTTAGTGTTTGAGATTGTATCTGGCCAGAAAATTTTGATAATTCTACGTAGACATGTGTGGTGGAAGGTAGACAGCTTGTGTTCATCATTTTTGGTCATTCTCCAGCATTCCGCTCCATAGAGAAGAACTGGCAAAATGATGCTCTTGTAGAGTCGGAGTTTCGTTCCTCTGCAGTAATTGTTGGATTTCCAGATTTGCCTCATCCTTCCAAAAGCAGCCCTAGCTTTGTTCAAACGTGACTGTATGTCTTCCTCTGTCCCTCCCAGTAGGGACACCACACTGCCAAGATATGTGAAATGTTCTACATTTTCAAGGGATTGGTTACTTATGGTCACTGGTTGTTGGTTTGGACTGTTTGTCATGATCTTAGTTTTCTTTGTATTTATTCTCAGTCCCACCATTTCTGCTGTGCAGTTTAGTCTGTTACTTTTCTCTTGTATATGTTCACGTTTATGTGATAGGAGTGCTATATCATCTGCAAAATCAAGGTCCTCAAGCATGGTGAATGGAGTCCATCGTATGCCTCCTAATGTCCTGTATACTGTGTTCTTTAGTATCCAATCAATCACAAGGTTGAAGAGGAGAGATGACATAACACATCCCTGTCTTACACCCGTCTTTACTGGGAAAGATGTATTGTAATTTTTTATACTGCAGGAAAAGTCTTTATAGAAGAGAGCAATTATGTTGACTATTTTTTCTGGAATTCCATAATGTCGTAAAATTTTCCACAGACCGTCTCTATGGACGCTGTCAAAAGCTTTCTCAAAGTCCACAATATTAATATATATACTTCTCTGCCATTCATTGCATTGTTCTAAAATGTTCCGTATGGCGGAGATGTGCTCAGTTGTTCCTCTGCCCTTTCTGAGTCCTGCTTGTTCCACTCGTAGGCATTTATCTACTCCTTTTTCAAGCCGCATTATGATGATTTTACAAAATATTTTGCCTGGTACTGAGAGTAGAGTAATTCCCCTCCAATTATTGCAGTCTGTTAAGTCTCCTTTTTTGGGGATTTTGACTATTGTTCCTTCAGTCCAGTCATCAGGCAACACTTCTTTTTCCCAAATTTCCTTGAACAATGGTCCTAGAATGCCATCAGTTGTGTTGGGATCTACTTTGAGAAGTTCTGCCGACAATTCGTCTTTGACTGGTGCTTTGTTTTTTAAAGTGTGGATAGCTTTAAGGATTTCTTGTTTGCTTGGTGGTTCAGTAATAATGTCAATGTCCTGAGAGGCTGGTTGAATTTCTGGGGTATTTTCAGGATCAGGTCTGTTCAAGAGGTCGGAGAAGTGTTTAGTCCACTGCATGTCTTGTTTTTGTTCTGTGGTGAGCAGTCTGCTTTGGTTATCTCTGATGGGTATGCTGTGATAGTTATTTCTGTTTCTGCAAATTTGCTGGGTAATTTTGTGTAGGGTTTGTAGATCATGTGCTTTAGCAGCATTTTTTGCTGTTTCTGCAAGATTTCCATAAATCTTCTCTTGTCAGCTCTGGCACTTTTCTTGGTCATTTTATTTAGTTCGCTATATTCTAACATTAGTTTGTCTTTCTGACGTTCTGATTTAGTGTGATTTATGAGGCTCTTTATTCTTTTTCGCTTGGCAATATAGTCCATGGTTTGACTACTTATCCATTTCTTCTTCCATTACTTTAAATAGATGTTGTATCATTAAGTCTGATGTTTTTTTGTGTTTGCATTATTTATTGTAAGTAGTCTTTCACCGTCTCTATTTGAATGTGACTTTATCGTATCTCAGCTTTGCTCATTTGCCTTACGTGTATTTGTCCAGTATTTTTGTCCAGTTTTAAAATAGTTTAGTATTTGTCCAGTATTTAAATAGTGTAGTATTTGTCCAGTACTTAAATAGTGTAGTATTTGTCCAGTACTTAAATAGTGTAGTATTTGTCCAGTACTTAAATAGTGTAGTATTTGTCCAGTATTTTTGTGAAGTACTTAAATAGTGTAGTATTTGTCCACTACTTAAATAGTGTAGTATTTGTCCAGTACTTAAATAGTGTAGTATTTGTCCAGTATTTAAATAGTGTAGTATTTGTCCAGTATTTAAATAGTGTAGTATTTGTCCAGTACTTAAATAGTGTAGTATTTGTCCAGTACTTAAATAGTGTAGTATTTGTCCAGTACTTAAATAGTGTAGTATTTGTCCAGTACTTAAATAGTGTAGTAGTATATTGTGTGTCCAGTACTTAAATAGTGTAGTATTTGTCCAGTACTTAAATAGTGTAGTATTTGTCCAGTACTTAAATAGTGTGTAGTACTTATATTGTGTTCCAGTACTTAAATAGTGTAGTATTTGTCCAGTACTTAAATAGTGTAGTATTTGTCCAGTACTTAAATAGTGTAGTATTTGTCCAGTACTTAAATAGTGTAGTATTTGTCCAGTACTTAAATAGTGTAGTATTTGTCCAGTACTTAAATAGTGTAGTATTTGTCCAGTACTTAAATAGTGTAGTATTTGTCCAGTACTTAAATAGTGTAGTATTTGTCCAGTACTTAAATAGTGTAGTATTATTCCAGTACTTATATAGTGTAGTATTTGTCCAGTACTTAAATAGTGTAGTATTTGTCCAGTACTTAAATAGTGTAGTATTATTCCAGTACTTATATAGTGTAGTATTTGTCCAGTACTTAAATAGTGTAGTATTTGTCCAGTACTTAAATAGTGTAGTATTTGTCCAGTACTTAAATAGTGTAGTATTTGTCCAGTACTTAAATAGTGTAGTATTTGTCCAGTACTTAAATAGTGTAGTATTTCCAGTACTTAAATAGTGTAGTATTTGTCCAGTACTTACTTAAATAGTGTAGTATTTGTCCAGTACTTAAATAGTGTAGTATTTGTCCAGTAGTTTATAGTATTTGTCCAGTATTTGTCCAGTAATAGTGTAGTATTTGTCCAGTACTTAAATAGTGTAGTATTTGTCCAGTACTTAAATAGTGTAGTATTTGTCCAGTACTTAAATAGTGTGTAGTATTTAAATAGTGTAGTATTTGTCCAGTACTTAAATAGTGTAGTATTTGTCCAGTACTTAAATAGTGTAGTATTTGTCCAGTAAATAGTGTAGTGTCCAGTATTTATTTTGTCCAGTACTTAAATAGTGTAGTATTTGTCCAGTACTTAAATAGTGTAGTATTTGTCCAGTATTAAATAGTGTAGTATTTGTCCCAGTACTTAAATAGTGTAGTATTTGTCCAGTACTTAAATAGTGTAGTATTTGTCCAGTACTTAAATAGTGTAGTATTTGGTCCAACTTAGTGTAGTATTTGTCCAGTACTAAATAGTGTAATAGTATTTGTAGTATTTGTCCAGTACTTAAATAGTGTAGTATTTGTCCAGTATTTTTAAATAGTGTAGTATTTTCCAGTACCAGTGTAGTATTTGCCTAGTACTTAAATAGTGTAGTATTTGTCCAGTACTTAAATAGTGTAGTATTTGTCCAGTAGGGTTTTTTGTCCAGTACTTAAATAGTGTAGTAATTTGTCCAGTACTTCCAAATAGTTGTGTAGTATTTGTCCAGTACTTAAATAGTGTAGTATTTGCCCAGACTTAAATAGTGTAGTATTTGTCCAGTACTTAAATAGTGTAGTATTTGTCCAGTACTTAAATAGTGTAGTATTTGTCCAGTACTTAAATAGTGTAGTATTTGTCCAGTATTTAAATAGTGTAGTATTTGTCCAGTATTTAAATAGTGTAGTATTTGTCCAGTACTTAAATAGTGTAGTATTTGTCCAGTACTTAAATAGTGTAGTATTTGTCCAGTATTTAAATAGTGTAGTATTTGTCCAGTACTTAAATAGTGTAGTATTTTGTCCAGTATTTAAATAGTGTAGTATTTGTCCAGTACTTAAATAGTGTAGTATTTGTCCAGTACTTAAATAGTGTAGTATTTGTCCAGTATTTAAATAGTGTAGTATTTGTCCAGTATTTAAATAGTGTAGTATTTGTCCAGTATTTAAATAGTTGTAGTTTTGTTAAATAGTGTAGTATTTGTCCAGTATTTAAATAGTGTGTAGTATTTGTCCAGTTATTTAAATAGTGTGTAGTATTTGTCCAGTATTTAAATAGTGTAGTATTTGTCCAGTACTTAAAATAGTGTAGTATTTGTCCAGTATTTAAATAGGGTAGTATTTTCCAGTACTTAAATAGTGTAGTATTTGCCTAGTACATAAATAGTGTAGTATTTATCTAGTATTTAAATAGTGTAGCATTTGTCCAGTATTTAAATAGTGTAGTGTTTGTGCAGTATTTTTGTCCAGTACTTAAATAGTGTAGAATTTGTCCAGTATTTAAATAGTGTAGTATTTGTCCAGTATTTACATGGAATGCTGAATTTTAATGTCGTAGTATTTGTCCAGAATTGAATTCTTTCTATAATGTGATGACAAAAAATGTGTGTATGTCGCATTATCCATGTCTACATATTGTTCTCGCTGATTTTGTTTTTCATTATTATTATTATTATTATTATACTAGAATATGTTGATTTTATTCTTTACTCGTACTGATAATAATGTTATTGTAAATAATTGTCAATAATATATATTGTCTATTGTATTGTAAGTAGGGGTTCCGATAGTTATTAAAACTATAAGGTTTGACACTGTATTTGCCACTGTTTTAACCAACTTATATTTAAATTCAAAATAATGTTTATCCGTTGTGAATATTAACAAAGAGGAGACAAACACAATTTATTGACTGGCATATTTACTGTATCTCGTCAGGTGCATACTTCAGTAACAGCTTATTAAAGTGAAGCAAATAAATGAATTCTTCCAACTTGAAATCGAAAAGAGTAGACTAACGGCGATGCCCGGGCAAAAATGTGTAGTTAAATATATGCCTAAAAAGTATTTCAGGATCCTCGCCGGTGCTACGGAGTTCATGCACTGCGCTGAGATTCTTCGGACTCGGGCTTGAGTCATAAGTAGCACATGGGTTATTATTCTTGTGCCATGAGGTTGATCCTTCGTCTATACCAAACCAAGAGGTGAAGAAAAGACGATGACGTTGGATATGACACACATTGAGGAAACCGGAGAACAATATAACTAGAATGTCTGTGCACTGGAATCCATAGGGGCATATAAATAAAGTAGGACCTAAAAGGAGATGTGAGCTAGAGAGTGAAATTAATAGACAGAGAGGACATGGGGGGGGGGGGGGGGGGGGGGGGCTTCATGCGATAGCGAAGGATAGAACGACTAGGCGTAAGCTTGTTGAGGGCCTATGCTCCATTGTGGGTTAGAAAGGCAGAAGAAGAAGAAGGAGAAGAGGAGGAAGAGGAGGAAGAGGCTGCTTGTTTGTGGCGATAATCAGTATGTCGCCTACATAACGTAAGTGCACCACCAAGCTATCAATATCAATAGTTACAGGTTCCCCTAAAGAGTGCCATAAAGATGGCAGCTAGGAGGGAGCCCAGAGGTTTCCCAATGGCCACGCCGTCAATCAAGATTTTATCTGTTAAAGCAGAAGTAGTAATAGTAACTTTTCAAAAATATCCTGTTGAACACTCAGGGTTCTAATTGGGATCATCACTTATCAGTTCTCTTTATGCCTAGTGGCACATGAGGCTTTGGAGATGACTTTTCATGCTTTCCTGTCCTGTGCAACCTTCAGGGTAGTTTTCCATGTCAGAGATGCCGCACTCAGGTCACTTTCCAACGTTCGTCTCCATGTTGTTTTTGGGCGCCTCTTCTTTCTCTTTCCCTGTGGTGTGAATGTGAGAGCTGTTGCATAATTGGGATGCATATTGTTAACTGAGTTCTCAGAGTATATATTTGTAATTTTAAATGTATATATCATGTAATTATTTATGTGACCAATATGTACTTTGTACTTTTTCACATTTTGCTTTGATATGGGATGAGATTAGGATAGAAAATGTGTGATGATTACACAATCTAACTTACACTATGTCATTCATCTGCTTTATTCATATCCTACCCCAAACAGGGGAAATCCACAGGTCATGGGACAGTCTAATATTTCAGGGGGTGGTAGATAGGCTACATGCAGTCGTGGGGCTTAAGCTGCACTCTCTCGTGGGACGTAGGTGGGTTGGGGTTAGGGCCAGTTCTGTATGTTTTGGGGTCGTTAAAAGCATCAGAAAGCCGGAGAACCCATTCTTACTACCCTCTAAAATATTGGACTGTCCTGTGACGTCATCTGAGGGGTAGGATTTTAATAAAGCACCAATAAATTGTTTCCTTAGTTATATATTGCTTCTGTTTTAACCAAGTTATATTTGTTACATTTCTAAAAAATTTATATGTGCTAAGTCTAAAATAATATGTATTCGCAAATTCTCTGTTGACTTTATATTTTAGACTGCTTTAGTGAATTTATATTTGCTAATTTGATGACAGGGAAAGGATATAAACTGCGGCCACATACAAGTCAATAATATGAAAATCTAACCAACGGAAACATATAAGTAATTGGGTGCAAACTTCAACTGTTCCAATATGATTAAAGAAGATATACAATCTAGAATACAATCTGGAAACAAAGTATTCTATGCCCTTCAGCGTTTGCTAAAGTCAAAATCTCTGTCTCGCAACGCCAAGATCAAAATATTTACAAAGTTGATAAGACCAGTCGTTTTATATGGCTCTGAAACTTGGAGCACAACTAAAAGAGATGGCCTTACTATACATTTTCGAAAACAGAGTCTTACGATGAATTTTAGGACCCATCAAATGTGCCGATTTGTCTGTAAAAATAGGATTGGATTGGATTTTTTACCCCACCAGGACATCACACAAGCGATAAACACCCGATGACACAAAGTGCCACCATGCGGATGAGGATCACCGTGGAGAGGTCCCAGAAACCGCGTTCAGACATTTGGCCATAATGATGACCTGCCTATATTGCGGCCCCTGGCAAAAGCCAGAGTAGGGCTTCAAATAACAAAAAATAACGTCCTAAGAAGGACGAAAAGTTAATATCTCTGTAAAAATATGGGACGCTCTTCATATATCCCGATGCGCCTAAGGCGTGAAAAGGGATCTTTACTTTTTTGTTTACAAATATGCAAACAGCGGGGAATGGAGAGTGAGAAGCAACAACTAAATTCATAATCTGTTTAAATCACCAAAGATCATTGGCATCATGAGAGCTAATAGACTGAATTAGCTTGGATATATTGAGAGAATGTCTAATGACAGAGAGGTAAAAAAAAAGTATACACAAGGAAAGTAAAAAACGTATACACAAGGGAAGTAAAAAACGTATACACAAGGGAGCTGAATGGTTGTAGACCACGAAGCAGACCAAGAAGACTATGGAGAGATAAGGTCCAGACAGACCTACAAACACTTGGTGTTACCAACTGGAAAGAGAAGGCCAACCAGAGAGATGAGTGGAGGCGGTTTATATATGCAGCAATGAACCTCAAGGGTTGGGAATGCTGAAGAAAAAGAAGAAGAAGAAGTTTGATGAAGGCATTTACAGTGAACTAAATATGTAACTGGGGCAGAGGTACTTCCTTTCACCCAGATCAAATGTACTCGGCTGTCAAAACGTATCGGCACTGCAACTGTAGAATTTATTTTAATCAACTTTTAGTAAATATAATTGCATCATTTTTCATCTCAGTCTCTTTGCTTTTCAATAAACGGTGTGCATGTATCACAAGCTTTCGTATTCCTATTACAAACAGTGTTTGAGCTTTCGTATTTCCGTTATAAACAGTGTTTAAGCTTTAGTTTTCCAGTTAAAAACAGTGTTTTAGTTGAGCTGAAATACCGGAAAGTGCATAAGGGGGGAGAGTTGGCGAGAGACTCATTTTCTTTCAGGTAGGCCGTGATGAGAGCGACGTTCTGTAAAATACCTGCTACCTGATGATGATGAGGATGCAGATGATGCAAACCATGAAAGCAGGACTATCTTCAGTTTTCCTTTTTCTTCTTCTGTTCGCTAGCTACAAACTCCGGCGGAATGTTCTGGGTTTTCGTCCACTTCTGGACTTTAGTCCTGTTCCAGAACCTGGGTGTTGCGTGCACATCAATTTTACCCATCTGAATCATGTGTATGCAGACTGTTGGCACAGGCACTCCGACTACGAAGGAAGCTCCCAATCAGTCGACTCTTACGACATGCTTTTGGGTAGGCAGTGGGTCGATTTCCCTACAAAAGGGCCCCGAAAACCACACACGGAATACGTTTTTAAATAAACGCACACATACATGCACACACACAAATACTCACAATAACTTACCTTATATTTGATCATAATTGAAATTCTGTGTCCAGTACATCATTGCTGTAGCATTATTTCGCTCAATTCGTTACACGGTTTGAGGTTTTGAACAACAGATCAACATCATGGCACTCGGTGTAACCCACAAGTACTCCTTTTTTCTTCTAACTGTAGTCTCAGTCTGAAAAAGCTAGGCACAGTGCACAGGTTCTATAGCACCGGCGAGGATTCTGAAATACTTTGGGTAGATTTTTAACTGCAAATTTTGCCCTGGCAGCGCCTTTAGACTACTCTTTTCGATTTCCAACTGCCAAGGGATTTTTTCACGTGCGCAACAACGCACACGGGCGTCCGATCTCACTACCCAGAGACCACAAGGAATTACTAGAAGTCCAAGTCCACTTGAAAAAGTCTCAGCTCTTACCGGGTATTGAACCAGGAGGCTCTAGCACTAGAGGCCGACGCCATGCTTCGAGACCACATAGATCCCTATTTGTTGCAAGACAGTTGCGACGGCTTCTAATTGGTGCAGTTAATGTCCTGGAGCAACAACTTTTATCTCATCAATGCAGGTAATGTAGGAGTCTTCAAAGAATCGCGTTTAAAAAAAAAATATTTTATTTTTCACTATCCTAAGCACAGAGGAAACTATTAATGCAGCTGCACATGAATGACTAAGTATAAATTGTAAGACACTGTATTAATGAAAATCGGTTTTCAACTCCACATTTTTTTTCTGAAACTGTAAACCAAACTTTTCTGGGGGCTTCACCCCCTTCCCCCTCACCCGTTCACACCCTCACAGCCTTATGTGGTTCATCTTTCAGTACTTGTTTCTCCATTCTTTCTTAGTTTTTTTCATAATGTTCCATAACAAGGTTGGGAAATTCCACAAGCAGGGGCATAACTCTCGTTGATGTGCTCTAAGTAATTCTTACTGGGTGCAGTGTACAGTGTAAACACTCAAAATATTGATGCAAACTTCTAAAACATAACAAAACACCGGACGTAGAACTAATAGGACAGTTTTGTTCGGCGAGGTTCAAATAGTTAGGGACACTCTGATCGTTCTCCAGTGGATCTCGGCTCACTGCGGCGTACCAGGAAATGAGCAGACAAGCTTGCTAAAAATGGAACAATGGAGAAACAACAGACCCATCCATTGTCGTTACCAGAATTTAGAACACTTATCAAGGGAAAATACAAGGAATTGTGGAGAGAACAAACCAACAGTAAACATCCACAAGACCCCATCATCAAACTGAACAGAAAGTAACATACAACAATTTTCCGTCTGAGAACAGGACACTGCATGCTCAACTACCACATGCATAACATTAAGATTGTGCAGTCCCCACAGTGTGCCTGTCAAACAGGACCACAAAAACGTGAGCACATTCTGCAGACCTGCACACTCTACCTACGACTTCGAAAAGACACCTGGCCTCAAGAGCAAAGTGTGCAGAGCAAGCTATGGGGAACCATGAATGACCTGCTACTTACACGCGAGTTCATAGAGGCAACCCACCTGATGGTCTGATCTGAGCCTATGAAACCGACCACAAAGAAGAAAAGGGGAAGGAGAAGAAGAGGAAAAAATGTTAGGGACACAAATTTTACGAAAGTACTTCTGCTTAGGCATACACTGCCCAACATTAGGCGTTAAATTATCGTAATACGCATTTCTCTCTTTCTCCTTCGCTATGTATGTGTGTGTATGTGATAGAGAGAGAGAGAGTGTGTGTGTGTGTGTGTGTGTGTATTTACACACACACACACATATAAATATATATATATATATATATATATATATATATATATATATATATATATATATATATATATATATATATATATATATATATATAGAGAGAGAGAGAGAGAGAGAGAGAGAGAGAGAGAGAGAGAGAGAGAGAGAGAGAGAGAGAGATTTTAACGGGTTTTTAAAAACAAATTAACAGCTTAGGACTCTTTTGGTACATTTTCAAAAAAATATTTGGTACTATTCCCAAAGAAATTTTGGCAGCCCTGGGGTTGAGTGAAAACTGTGCTCGGCAATACCGCCGGCAAAAGTAACCACCAAGTGGAAAAGCATGTTTTATCTTATTGGATTAGGGTTGGGCGACGCCAAAGACATAACAGTAAAGGGTTTAGAAGTTGTAAAAAATGCACAAAGAGTTTATCTGGAAGCATACACGTCAGTGTTAACTGGCGGAAAGGAAGCTTTGGTAAGTCCTGGTTGGTTGGTTGTTACTTTTTATCTCAAAGTCTATGCCGTTGAGTGAGGCCGCGTTGTTTGTCATGTCTATTCATTATTCATATTCACAACAACATTCTTCTGATCTCTTCTGCTGTCTCCTGAACCCTACTAAACTTTCAGTTTCAGTCAACTCGGTCTCCCTCAGCCTCTCCTCCCCTCCAACTTTCCTACTGTCACGGTGTACTCCAGTTTTTCCTTCTCATCACATGGTTAGTTTAAAGTCAGGCGCGACGCCTCAAAGAAGTCTGGCACCCCACTGTAGGACTTTTCTCTTCAAGTGTGCGTAATAATAGTAATTATTATTATGTGCTGAGGGCAAAAAATATAGTAATGTTAAGTATTATTATGAAATCTTCTTCGTGTTCACCAGCTGTAAACTCTGGCGGAAAGTTCTGGTTGTTTATCCACTTTTGTACACACTACTGCAGTCCTGTTCCAGAACCTGAGTGTTACGTGTGCATCCGTTTTACAAATCTGACTCATTTGTGTTTGCAGACTGCTGGTTCCTTGCCTCTCGACTCATGCAGATGCACTCCCACTTTGAAGGAAGCACCCAACTAGTAGACTCTTACGACATCATGCTTTTGGGTAGGCAGTGGGTCTATTCTTTTTTCCCTCTATAACAGGACCCCGAAAGCCGGGTAATTATATGAAATGTATAAAGTCAAATTAAATACTTTAAAAGAGTAGGTCTCAAGTCTGTGGTTGTCCTAGGAGCCCCTGTGCATATTTTCTAGAGTGGGAACTCAGGTACTCTTAAAAATATTTTTTTTTAATAATCTCTTTCTTTCCACTACTTCTGCCAGTGCCCACCATGGGTCCTTATCACCAGCTGACTATCAAATCTCCCTTACCACACACGCGCACGCAAACAAGCCTTCGATATCCTGGTAGCGCTTGTTTGTAGTTGAAAGTGCTGGTGCTCGCCACAAGCTTCTGTAAAAAAAAGCGTCTGGTACTCATCAAAAAGTGTCTATTGCAGTAGTTCTGAGAAACAAATGATCCCTAAAATGGTGCCGGTGCTGTGTACCGTTATATACCACCAGAAAGAGTGAAAAAAGCCTCGACTTATAATCTCACTTTCATTCCTCTGCTTCTATCATGCCCATCATGAATCCGACCTGATAATTTATTTCTCATTCTGTCAGCTGAAGAAATTGTCTTATTTAGGCATAACCACTATTTGGCTAAACAAGTCCACAAGATAGAAAGTAGTCAGATGATGATAAATGCATATAATAGAGTGGTTAGTTTTTTAGATCAAAGTTTGGCCACCTGTCCCTAAATACAGTTCTTGTATACTGATAAAACCACAAATTATTGAGGGTGGAGTGGCTTAGAAGTGACATCTGACCTGGGCAGATGTGGTTGTTTCACAATAAGACCACTAGATAGAAAGTTAGGTTTTGGTGAATCAGTATTAGAATAATTAGTTTATTTAAAGTTTGGATCAAAGTTTGACTGCCTTGCCCTAAAGTCAGGGTTGTAATATATTGATGATATATTATTGAGGTGAAGTAGCTTAGAAGTTACAACTGGCTAATGCAGACCTAGTTGGCTTCACAGGATGGGTTGTTTAAGAATTACAAACTAAGAGAGTAGTTTTACATTTCATTTCGATCCTAACTTAGTAAACTAAACATTATTCTTTCAATGACAAGGGTTAAAAACTTGAGTGAAATGGGGTTAAAAAAAAACAAGAGTATTATCTTCATTGTCTTCTTCTTCTGCCTTTCTATCCCCCAATGGAGCATAGGCCCTCAACCAGCTCACGCCAAGTCGTTCTATCCTTCGCCATTGCATGGAGCTCTCCCCATGTCCTCCCAATCTTTCTAACCTCATTCTCCAGCTCTCTTCTCCATGTGTTTTTTGGCCTTCCTTTATTTCTATGCCCCTGTGGGTTCCAATGCAAAGACATTCTATTTATACTGTTCTCCTGTTTTCTCAGTGTGTGCCCTATCCAACGCCAGCGTCTTTTCCTCACCTCCTGATCCACTGGAGCCTGTTTATCTTTATTGTACTTGGATTTATCTTATGTGACTCAGTCTCTCGTTGCATAGCAGGTAAGTGTGTGTCAATTGCGTGACACAATGCATAAAATCTTTAGCTCCATTGACACTCCTCCTCAAGGCTTTTTTTTTTAATAAAAAAAGGTGCCGGTACTAATCACAAAATATTTTCTTTTTTAAAAAAAAGGTGCCATTAGTCACCACAAAGTATCTAATAGCACTGAGAAAATTTTGTCTAAAAAACTTGTGAGTTGCGGTATTTTTTTAAGGGGGCGGAAAAGAAACACTGTTCGGATTTGACCTCATGACCTTTGTGGATGAGCATGTGAGCATCTAGCCGCTACACCTCAGCGACTCCATGTTTCAACAGTGCATTTAAAAAAGAAATGGTGTCGTTCCCCCCAGTGGAGGTTGGCAATGTTGTGTCCAGTGCTGATTGGAAATATTATTTGGTGAATTTCCAATCTCTTCCATCGTGCAGCTTTCATACCACTATTTGAAATCTACGAGAACGGTCTTTTTCTCTACCGCCTACCACAAGAATTAAACCCTGGTGAATGTCAAGGTTTGCATTGTGGAATTACTTTACTAACCTCTAAGGTTCAGAGTGGCACAGCAGTGCATCATGTAATAAAGTGAAAGTCCCTTACATGTCAGTGGCACATCAGGCATATGAGGCCAGACTCGTATTTTTATATACCCAATCAGTCCTCGATGTGGTCAATATCATGTCAGCAGCCTTTACTTCCCATGACTTTAGCTGGTTCCCATTTAAGACCTGGCAGCCAAAGTCATGTTTGAAAAATAACCCAACACCATGCGGATTTAAACCCACCAGCTTCGGATCCACGGGCGAGCACTACACCACAGCGGCTCCCAGCAGTACATTATATTGTTTTTTGAAAATATGTCGACAAATAAGTTCACGTCTAATTTCTACATCAGGAATCGTTTTATGGAAGGGATGTTATCCTGGCTGATCGAGACTCAGTGGAGCAGTCGGCAGGTTGGTACATTTTCTCTTCATGTTTATATCTGAACAGCTCCTTTTATCTGATATAGATGAAAAAAAATGGGATTGGACTCCCTGCGTGGGTCCTGGGACCCCATTTCGGGAAGTGGGGGTGGGATGGGGGTAAAATGCTTTGCTTACTTAACAAGCTTGCCGTAAAAAGTTGGGGGTCTTTCTTTCATATCGGAGTATATCTCTCCCTGAGAGGCGATAAACTAGCAGTCTGCACACAACTAAGCTAGATCAGTGGAATGAATATGAATGCAAAACTGAATTTCTGAAACAAGACCAAAGTTCAGAAGTGGACAAACAACCATAACTTTCCACCTGAGTTGTTAGCTGGTCAACACTGGAAGAAGAAGAATGGGACTGGATTCTCTGTCTGCGTCACATGTGCAGGGGTAAACAAATGTGTTAAGAATAGGATTGGCTGCAATCAAGCTAGTGTCAAAGTATTAATCCGCTGAACATTGACTAAGAAGTATAATTTATCTACCAGCAAACTCATGAAATTGGTTGGAAAGTAGGTATTAGAAGTCAAACCCTGGCACATCGAGGATTGTTAAACACATGCAGTAACAAGTACAGTATATCAGTAATTTACCAGACTGGGACCTTTCAAGGCACTGGCTTCTGGGTGCCTGGTTATCTTAAAAACAATTAAACAATTTGGATGCTAACAGAAACATTGGAAGGGCAGTAGTTTGGGTTGACTGTCAGTATTGGAAGGGCAGTAGTTTGGGTTGACTATCAGTATTGGAAGGACAGTAGTTTGGGTTGACTATCAGTATTGGAAGGACAGTAGTTTGGGTTGACTATCTGTATTGGAAGGACAGTAGTTTGGGTTGACTATCAGTATTGGAAGGACAGTAGTTTGGGTTGACTGTTAGTATTGGAAGGACAGTAGTTTGGGTTGACTATCAGTAGTTTGGGTTGACTATCAGTATTGGAAGGACAGTAGTTTCGGTTGACTATCTGTATTAGAAGAAAAGTAGTTTTGGTTGACTATCAGTATTGGAAGGACAGTAGTTTTGGTTGACTATCAGTATTGGAAGGACAGTAGTTTCTGTTGACTATCTGTATTGGAAGGACAGTAGTTTTGGTTGACTATCAGTATTGGAAGGACAGTAGTTTTGGTTGACTATCAGTATTGGAAGGACAGTAGTTTTGGTTGACTATCAGTATTGGAAGGACAGTAGTTTTGGTTGACTATCAGTATTGGAAGGACAGTAGTTTTGGTTGACAATCAGTATTGAAAGGACAGTAGTTTCTGATGACTATCAGTATTGGAAGGACAGTAGTTTGGGTTGACTATCAGTATTGGAAGGACAGTAGTTTGGGTTGACTATCAGTATTGGAAGGACAGTAGTTTCGGTTGACTATCTGTATTGGAAGGAAAGTAGTTTTGGTTGACTATCAGTATTGGAAGGACAGTAGTTTCGGTTGACTATCAGTATCTCCCACATGTTCTTCTTTGAGTCTGGCAGGGGGTTATTCATGAGGACAAAATGCTGTGGAAAACATTGAATAGATGGGGAAATTGAGAAGGAATAAAAGTAGGGATGAAGAAACCCAGGCGGGTTAAATGTTGCGGGCCTAAAAAGAAGCATGTCGAGTACATATGATGGTGGCGGTTTGTTCAATGTTTGTCTCCCCGTTTACTCACTCTTATACACTAGCTCACTTCTGTTTGGGAAGGCTAACATGGAACTAAATGATGGCAACAATGGTCCTGAAACCTCCTTCATTTATTGTAGCAGATTCTTCGCAGCACAGGCTGGTCTTGCTTGTAGTACTGCCCACCACCTTGGAGTTGTGATTCCCATGTTTCTCTGTAGCACAGTGGGCCACTGTTGTCTGAAAAGATGTCAACAACAGCAGAAACCTGACTACTTGGCCATAGCCAGTAGTTCTCAACCTGGGGGTTGAACGACCCAGCCAGTAGTTCTCAACCTGGGGGTTGAACGACCCTTTAAGGATTTCACAAGGGCCACCTAAGACCATCGAAATAGACATATTCACTGACGTTATAAAGTAGCCATGAAAATAATTGTATGGCTGGGGGGTCACCACAACATGAGGAACTGTATTAAAGGGTCATGACATTAGGAAGATTGACAGCCATTGGTCTAAGCAGATAAAGAAGATAGGATTGATCAGAAACTAGTGATTGTGTGCACTGGTGAACTATGATCGGCCATGCTTACAGCAGCATCATCATTTGGCATGTCCTTTACAGAACGTCACTCTCATCACGGCACGCCTGAAAGGTTCTCTTTCTTCGGCCAGTTCTCCAGCCCCGTGTGCTTTCCTAGCCCATGCATCTTAAATGTCCTGTATCCACCTTTGTGGAGGTTGGTCAATGCTTAATTTTCCAGAAACTTGCCTCCATCACCATTATCTCCAGGCCGCCATAATGTTTGACATGGCAAAAATTGCTCAGCTTTCAGGGCAGGATGTTGTTTATGAGCCAATTCTCCTCTATGTTCAGATCCTGCAGGATGCCTGTGTTTTTATTTTTCTTGGTGCATAGTATTCTATTTTTTTTCTGTAGCATTTCAGTCCGAAGCTCCAATATTGTCTTCAAAGACTGGGTAATAGTCTATGACACACATTTATAGGTTGTAGCGGCAAAAATTCACAGGCAGAATGGCTTGATCTGCACCACTGGGTGGTGAACTGATACATGACAAGGCAGATGTGGTCAAGGCCCTTTGGGAACAAGCAACGGAATCAGTAGAGAAACAAGATTATTGTGGCCTGATAAAAATGAGGCACCTGGGTGTAACCAGAGGGTCTGGCCGGCTCACTACACTCAGAGGAAAAGCAAGATGGTCATATAACTAAATTGTTACCGGTACCATCAGGTATTGGAACTCTGTGCTGGCTGCTGAAGATCAGGATAGAGCATGCATGGGAATGCAAGTGCTGTGATGTCAGTTCTTGACTCAACTAAATTTTAACTTTAACTGGCTTGCAGGTGCTTATGGCCTGGCACATTATAAAAAATAAAATTTTAAAAAACCTACCTATGCTTATGGCTGATGATGATAAGTTGAATTATCTACTCTTACTATCTAATATAGTTTTCATGCCTTATTTACATTTTCTTTATCTGGTTTCATCAATAGATGAGCTGATGGCACAAGCAGACACTGTTGATGTTGCCTTCCTGGTTGTTGGTGACCCACTAGGGTAAACTATGTGCTGTTTAAGAGCTGATTTTTTGTATGTGATTTTTATACAGTAAAACCTCATTATCGTGAACTAACATTTGGTTAGCATGAACAAAATTTTGGGCCCAGGGAATAATATTCATAATACATCTATTGATCCCTGATTTTCCATTTGGGTTCCGGCGCCTCATCCTTTTCTTTGGCATTTTTTGGATCAGACATTATTGATTGCGTGGACTCCCCCCCCCCCCCCCCCCCCCCCCCCCCCTTCATTTTCTACCAAATAATATTTTAATAAACATTTTGTGTTCACCCTTAAAGAAGCAGTTAGCATGTTGCATTGTGGTTTACAGCTAGGCTGCAATAAATGTGCTTTTCAGTCCAAAAGTCTGATTTCAGCCAAAGCCTAAATTGTCTACTTTTACCAAATTGAGGGGCAGGGAGACTGTTCTTTTGTCCCATAAAATAAGGCTCTGGAACCCACAGCAAGATTAATGAAGTTAAATATTGCTATTTAATTATTTAAATTTACACATAACATCTTTTTCTCTGCCTGATTTCTTTGATCTGATATTTTTCCTTTCAAGGCAAATTTATGTATTCAACATGATCTTTATCATAAAGTTTTAATGAATCACCTGCAGCTTTAAGTTTCTTGTCTTCTATATTAACACTCTTTTCAATGTTCCTCTCTAGAAGGAAACTTTAGTACCTTACAGAGGAAGGTTGTGTATGAATGGATCACTGCACTTGGGAGATTCCCACACCTGCTCCGTCCCCTTCTTCAGTAGCCAACGGAGAGCTGATATGCTAATAGTACCAGTTGCAACCTGATTAAAAGTCGGCCTCTTTTTCCCCTTCAATGTGGAATATCTTTCAGAACATCTACACAACCCCTGTTAAATTAGTCTTTCAGTGTGTGGATTCCCTATCTGTTCTTTTGCACTGTCTGCATAGAGTCTTCACCACATCTGCTTTATCATATAGTAGCTCACCGCCCAGAGGAGCGACAGGAGCTAATCTGTCAGCCTGCTGGCTAACTCACACAGAAAATTCATGATTTACTCTTGATCTGGGCCTTGTCAAGTGATGTAAGTCACTCTGATCGCAGGACACCAGTTTCAAGTTTTCTGAATCATGCCTTGTGAGTCTGTTACAGTCACAACATGTCAGACTATGCTGTTCACAAGCTAGTGAAAGGCAGCTGCTACTACCTCAACTTCCATTCTTATGCTGGATGTAGGACATTGTACACTAGGCTCTCTGTTTTCAAGCAGTATCCATTCACCTTTTCAGTAAAACCCCACCCACACTTCTCACCTCTCATCAGACCCATCTGTATATATTATGATGTCACCTGGATGGGAATTTTCATTGATCAACTCTTGCACTGCTGACTCTCGTTCATCAGCTACCCATTCCTAGCACCCCCGATCCAAGGTAATTATCACTTTGTGCGAGTCTGTTTTGCTGGGCCACAATGTAACCCATTCTATCGTGTCAGTAGCACAAACAGTTCTGATTGTGACTTCTGCCTGTGTCATCCAAGAGCTCCCTCTTTTTCAGCCGTTGTCCTTTGCTATCCCCTAAGGCCTCTCATGTCCATTGTGACTTTAAGGTTGCATTTTTGGATGGATTCATTTTTTATGCGTTCCAACTTCTGTATTTGGGTGTGAGATAATGTTAGCAGTCCCAAACCATACACATTCACCAAAATAATCAGTTTCTGTAGTTCCAGTTGTATAGAGCATTTTGTATTCCATGTCCGCTGATGCCATCCCCTTCAAAGCATTGAGCCCTTTCCTTATCTTTAAAATTACCTCTTCCGCATTGTATTTAAATGATATACACCTATCAAAAGTATTATTATGTCTTTATATAGCTGCTGTTTATTGTAACGTCCGGCAACACATCTCTAACAATTATATTATTTAAAAGAACACCAAAATACTGCTGCCTTATTTGGCTTGATGACCGAGCCTGTTTCCTCAGACCACTCACCTAACTTATAGCTACTGTAAACTGCAGCTCTCTTGATTTTATTTTTCTGTTTCTCCCCTGTGTGTAGACTAAGACATTGTCGGCAGGAGTCAAGATTATCCCTATACCCAGTGTCTCTTTTGCCGCTGTCCTGCATGTGTTCATGTTGAAAAGCCCTGGGGAAATGGCGGAACCCTGGTAGAGGCCAGGTGCGATGCTACATGGTTTAGAGCATAGGCAAAAGGCAGTCTGCTGTACAAAAATCTAGTCAGCCTTTTGTCAGGACATAGAAGGGTGTCAGGACACAAACTGATTGGTGTTGTTGGAAATTGCAAGTTTAAGAAGAGGCATGTTTGCCGCTTCCAATCGTCAAGGTATCTCATCGTTCATGAAGTTTCTTCTTCATTGCTTTATTCATCAACCTACATTTATTAGCTTCTACATAAAAGAAGTATTTGTTTTATGTAACGTTGAATTTGATTTATATATTTCAGTGCCACAACTCATACTGATTTAATCTTGCGAGCTGTAGAAAAACAAATTCCGTACAAAGTAATCCATAATGCATCAATCATGAATGCTATTGGCTGCTGTGGACTTCAGGTTGGTAGAACAGATGTGTGCCGTAACAATGAAAACCATTATTAACTATTATTACTATTTTATTAGGGGATTTAAAGAATTGTTACAATTAATCATTATCCAGTGGTGATGGGCACTTGCCTCATAATTCTGAATATTCCGGCCTCTTCTTTGTTCAACGGATTGGCATCTGACTTTATCTGTTTAATTCATTTGTTTGTTTTTCCCCCCAAGGATTACATTCTGTAGGATTAACATCTCGAGGAAGAAAATCACACGGGTACACATTCCGGAAAAGCCTGTTCAGTCATATAGCACAGTTATGTTGGGGCACCACAAAAAAGTTACTGGCTAACCTATAGTCCGGTGTGGATGAGTCCTGTGCGAGTGACTTTTTTTTTCATCAGGCCTGCAATAATGCTTGCTGCTTTCATTATTGCTAGATTCTATCCTAGCTTCCAGTCTAGGGTTTCCACATTTGACTGTGTTTACGCCATAGAAAATTGGAAGGTTCTAATCACATTGAGCGGCCCACAATGAGAGTGAATTCCTTTCCCATTGATGTCTCGATCTGGTGTAGCACTTGCACTATGTCGTAGGGGATCTGCTTCCTAGGTCGCACGACTGTATGCAGCATATAACAGAGGCTGCATACGGGGGGGTAGGTACATGTTTTTAAACTGTTAAAAGCTCACTGACAACAAGGAATAAAATACGACTCGCTACACATGAAACCCCTACGTCATAGTACAAGCGTTACACCAGATTGAGGCATCAGTGGGAAGGGAAGTCACTCTCATTGTGGGCCGTTTATGGCCTAATGTACTAGTTAGGTTAATCCCGTGTTTCTTTATCACTTTGTACAGGATGATATTCCATATGAGTTTCAGAGAATCGCTGAAAGGCCGAGTGCACTCAGTTGCCCTATATCCAAAAGCATATCTGGATTTAACAAATGTGTATACTCACTGACTTAGCCACGGAGTACCAAGCCATTGTTTTATGTGCAGGTGATAGTCTGCTATTTTTTCTTTCACGAACTATATTGTTTCTTTTTTCTTCTGAGTGTTCGCTGACTGTAAACTGCAGCGGAAAGTTCAGGTTGTTCATCCACTCCTGGACTTTAGTCTCATTCCAGAGCTTGAGCTTCACTTGCACATCTGATTTTACAGATCTGGCTTATTTGTATGCAGACTGTTGGTTCCTCGCCTCCCTGGCAGATGACTTTCAAGAAAACACTCCTGATTAGTCACTTCCTACAGCATGCTTGTTTAGAGAGGCAGTGGGTCTATTCTTTGTTCCGCAAAATGGAGACCCGTAACCCACTCTGGAAGAACTGTGTTCAGTGCCTAACATTTTACAAGTTGTAAAAGTGTATGTCTAATATTTGTACATAGGAATTCCATGGAGGCTTTTTTGTTTCACGGCTTGGTTTCCCATCCAGTAAATGGGGATCATGAAATGTTCTGTTAAATTAAAGTGACTGGTGTGATACTGTGCACATCACCCATTGGTCTGTAAAATATATTTGACTAGCGTTATATGCCTTCAGATGTTTGAAGATACTACCATTCCTTATATATGGTAGGCATACTGTTTCCCCCAAAAATGAGACTGGGTCTGATAGTAATATTAGCTCCAAAAGACACCTTAATTAATTTTTGTTCAGGGGATATGTTTTTTTTTTTTATGTACAAAAATCTAAATTTATTCATGTACAAAAAATCTACATTTATTCAGGTGCCAAAATATACTTTATAAAAATATTAATTGTCAATAATATTATTTATTTATTCATACAATCATTATTTTTTAAATGTCTGTCATGTGTTCCAAAGGGCAAACAAAATTCGTCAGTGTTGCTGATGATTTAAATCAGGGCTATTCAACTGGCAGCCTGCGGGCTAAATCTGGCCCTCAAAGACCTGGCAATGATCACATGCCAGTTTTTGCTATTCAACTGGCAGCCTGCGGGCTAAATCTGGCCCTCAGAGGCCTGGCAATGATCACATGCCAGTTTTTGCTATTCAACTGGCAGTCTGCGGGCTAAATCTGGCCCTCAAAGACCTGGCAATGATCACATGCCAGTTTTTGCTATTCAACTGGCAGCCTGCGGGCTAAATCTGGCCCTCAAAGACCTGGCAATGATCACATGCCAGTTTTTGCTATTCAACTGGCAGCCTGCAGGCTAAATCTGGCCCTCAGAGACCTGGCAATGATCACATGCCAGTTTTTGCTATTCAACTGGCAGTCTGCGGGCTAAATCTGGCCCTCAAAGACCTGGCAATAATCACATGCCAGTTTTTGCTATTCAACTGGCAGCCTGCAGGCTAAATCTGGCCCTCAGAGGCCTGTCTGGCAAGTGGCCCACGGATCACATGACAGTTTGATTGTTTTAATCATTTTTTTAATGCCCTGGCCATAGCACCATGAAGATCCCCATTTTCCAGCTGTTTGACTGTATGTGAACTTAGTTGAATGGCCTTGATCTAACTGAAGCTTTCAATAAAACTACATTGAAAACTCGAGCTGAAACTTATTTTCATGCCAGATCTTATTTTCTATGAAATGTGATACACAATTTTACCTTAAAAGTCTCAAATGTATTTTTTTTTTTATTCCAGCTGTATAACTATGGAGAAACTGTGTCCATTGTCTTCTGGACAGAGGATTGGCAGCCGGAGAGCTTTTATGACAAAATTATCTCCAACAGGGAGAGAGGAATGCATACCCTTTGTCTTCTTGGTGAGAATTTCTAATAAATAAAAGAGAATATTAAATTTGTGCTTCTTTTACCTTTCACCTCCAACTGGAGTATAAGCCTTTAACTTGTAGGCTTGTCCATGATTGGCTGAATTTTGCTGTTAAGCGCATGGGGAAGGATACTAGCTTTATCCTCTTCATGTAGCATGTCCTTTGTAGAACATCATAGACAATGTCAGCCTGAATGAAACTTGTTTTCTCACCAACTCTCCCGCCTCTTGCATTTTCTACCAAATTTTGGCTTACAAGAACTTTAACTTTTAACATCAAATGCACATCTATGTGCTGCCCTCCCCTACCCCTTTATCCTTTTACCATGCCCCTTCCGCTATTATCTTTTTCCAAACTGTGTGGCACTTAAAATGGCTAAATATTTCAGTTTCCGAGACAAGATGTTGTTTACAAGCCAGCCCTTGTTCAGATATTTTAGGGTGTCGTTATTTCTTTTCTTAATTTTATCCTAACAGAGGAAATGTGAACTGAATGTTATGGCAAGGTAGACCAGGCATTTAGCCTTGGCTGGCAGTTGGTGTAGGAGGGAAGCCCAGAAAGAGTAGACAAACAGAGCACTGCTCTTCTGATCTGGCAGCTTCTGCTTTGTTCATATTATTATATTGCCCTTGGGAACACGGCAGGCCAAAGGAGGGATCGTGCTGCTGGGAAACACACAATCTCTGCAATACTGCCCAGGCTTTGTGTCGTGGATAGAAGGAACTTAATCTCTGGCCTTAATGGACTGATTCTAATGCAGTGTTTCCCAACTTGGGGCCCATGCGTCACCAGGGGGCAATTAAAAAATGGACTAGTCTAGAGTTTAAATTACATAGGGAGCGTATGAACTGTAGAAATGCTTAGATGGGGCATGGCACAAAAAAGTTGGGAAACACTGTTCTAATACCTCTGTATAACACAATACATCGCTGTCATCTGGAAAGACAGACAGGCCCAGAAACTAATTCTACTGTTCAAGTGTTTTATCAGAGAAGGTGGCTGGTTCAAGATTATTTAAATACAAGTAATGGTTTACAAAAATATATGTCTTGTGGTTTTTGGACAATGATACGAAAGTTGCGCCATGAAAGAGATTGAGGCTTTCACTACCTAATAATCCCAAAGATAATGGTGGTACACTGCAGTCAACCTTCATTGTGGAAACGGCACTGAAAACAACAGGCTGCCAGCGTCAAACATGGACCTTTACTAAGACTATGAGTGCACGATCATAACAGAGATAAGATGTTTTAGAAGAGCTGCAATGTAACAAGAACAAATAAAAATGAAGAAATTAGAAGACTAGGCTTGACGCCAGTTATACAATTAATTAAAGATGTGATGGTTTGGCCATTTGACGAGAATGCCATGGTACCAGCCGAGAGCTACACTGAAGAGATATGTAATGGACACGTTGCCAGGGGAAGACCATGCAGAAAATAAAACATGTGCGGGTTTGGGGGCACCATTGTGGGGAAAACAAGAATAGACCAGTTCCCTCCCCAACTAGCATGTCTGAGGAGACAACTGATTGGGGGCTTCCTTTGAAGTCGGAGTGCATCCTCCCGAGGGGAAAGGAACCAACAGTCTGCATACAAATAAGTCAGATCTGTTAAATTGATGTGCATGCAATACTCAAGTTGGAACAAGACTAAAGTCCAGAAGTGGACGAACAACCAGAAATTTGAGACGTTAACAGCCGATGAGTGCAAAGAGGGAAAAAAAAAGAGAGCCAACTTATACAATGCATTTGAAAAAGATTACGGGGATTCTTATATTTTCCTCCATCACTTCACTGAAGGTCAAGTGAAGAAGAAAAGATAAGATAGACAGAAGGTGCATCTGTGGATTTCATCAGTGATATTACAAAGAATTATGCAGATAGAATAGAATAGAGTAAACACACTCTGAGCGTTTTGCAGTTCGTAAACGGGTCAACACCTGGGCGTTGTTGATGATGTTCACATGTAAAACAACGATTTTTATTTGACATTGGTGGAATGATTTTATTTATTTCATTTGTAGAATTCATTCATCATATTTATATTTTACGCTTGTGGATTTTTTAAAATGTATTTCAGTTGAAAGAAATCATTTATCATTTTCTTATTTAATTATTTTACTGTAGAAGCTTACTGACGAGATACAGTAAAACAGGCCAAACAGTAAATTATACAATCTATTGTTTGTGTTCTTTTTTTCAAATTCTTATTTTCTCATTTCAAAAGTTTTTGTGTTTAAAAAAATAATGGCACTGTGAATGTTGTTTGGCTTCTTGAACTCTTTGAGTCCCAAGGTCGCATAAGATGTTCTTAGGTTCATACCTAGAGGCTCAATGAGCGCAAGATGTGCTGATTTGTATGTCTCTCTTTACTACCCCTTGGGCCTCTGGTGCTGAACTCTCTAGGACTCAAAGAGTTAATATCGTATGTTAAACATTAATTTGTTTGTTTGCAGATATAAAAATGAAAGAGCAAACCATAGAGAACCTTATGAAGTAAGTAAAAAAAAGGCAGAGTAAAGATCCCTTTTCCACACTTTTAGGCGTATAGGGCATTTATGGCTAAACTATATTTTTATAGACCAATAGGCACAAGATGGGTGATGAGGTCAGCTATCACGCCGGCCGCCTTTACTTCCTGGGACTACACCTGATACCCACTCAAGGCTGGGTCGACCTGGGAGTCAAGGTCATTTTTTTTAAAAGTCAGGCTCTGCCAGAAAGCGAACCCGCGAGATTCCGATCCACATGCGAGCGTCTAGCCGCTATGCCACGGCGACTCCTCTATGAAGTAAGTAGTTTTATGGAATCAGGAATCTGTAAAACATGTGTCGCTGTATTATAGTGTAAGTGAAGGACCTTGTTCCACGCCTTCAGGTGTATTGGGGCATATAGGGCTGGACCTATATTTCGTAGACCAGTCGGCACTTGGTGGGCGGTGTGGTGAACATCACGCCGGCCGCCTCTGCCTCCCAGGATTGCACCTGGTACCCACTCAAGGCTGGGCCGAGCTGAGAGCCAAGGTCGTTTTTGAGAAAGCCTTGTTTCACCAGGACTCGAACCCACGACTTCTGATCTGCAGGTGAGAGTCTAGCCGCAACTCTCGTATTATAGTGTAGGTAGTGTATTATAATACTATATGTATATTATACTATATTTTCTGTACTGTTTATTATAAACTCTATATAGTATATTTTTTTTCTCCCCTCTGGGACTGCATACTGAAAGATGAACACCCGGTGGCTCAGAGACATTTCCAGGTGAGAATTCTACCCCACACTTATCTCCCCCCACCCACCCCGTCTGGGGGATCAGAGTGTCTCTGACCTCTTCCCTTTGACCTGTTCTGCTAGAGAGGACCTGGTGATAGCTACACTGTTGCCAGCATAGCTCTCAGGATCATTGAGAAACACAGGCTCCCTAACCCACCATATCAAGGGAGAAGAGATTGTATGTTGATGAGCCTGATGGGAAACCGGAACATATGCCGAGCTTTGAAATGTGGCCATTTTTTGGTTTGGTTTTCTTATTACTTGAGTTCACAAATGTCAAGGCTTTCGGGAACAAGCAATGGAAATTGGTCCAGAAACAAGATTATTATGGCCTGGAGAGAATGAGGCACCTGGGTGTAACCAGAGGGTCTGGCCAGTTCACTACACTCAGAGGAAAGGCAAGGACGGACATATAAACAGATTTTGACCAGTACCATGAGTATTGGAACTCTGCACTGGCTGCTGAAGATGAGGATAGAGCACGCATGAAAATGCCCCGAGTTCTGTGATGTAAATTCTTGACAACTCAACAGTAGGAAAACGTGTTATATTATCACAGTCGATGCCTTTGCACATTAGGCATCCTCATGAGTGCTCAGTCCTCCGATGCAGCAGCCTCCAGGGTACCTCTTCTGATTGTTTCAATAAGGAGTTGATTATAGTATCTCCTGTCTTTCCCTCAAAGATGACATAGACGTGCTTCACCAAGCTTAACTCCTTGGTCACGCAGTCATGTTAGCGTCAGAGATTCGCCATTATCGTCCAGTCCAGCCATACAGCGTTGATGATATCAGCTCTGTCTATGCTTCTTCCCGTTTGCATTGTTTTCAGTTTATATTTGTGTCTACTACTTGTGTTTAGGGGCCGGCCAATCTACGAACCTCCACGCTTTTTATCTGCAAGTGCCGCAGCACAGCAACTCCTCCTAATAGTCGAGAGAAGAGGGAAATGTCAAAGTTCAACTGGAGGTGATGTTTCTTAAAATTTGCATTCAGTTTAAATGATTGATTTGATTTCATTCAAGAATCAACATCACAGCACTCAGGGTAACCATATGTACTCAATCCCTCATATTTAGCAGCCAATGCATAGTTACAATACCAATTCTCTCTGTTTAAATCTGATCAGTTTTTATGAAAGAATATCTAGGCATATTTGTTAGCTAACTTAGAAGAGAAATACAGTCTGTAAGATTAATCAAAAAAAGTGAAAGGTGGTGTTGTTTCTTTAGGAAATACTACTATGGTGCATTCCAGAAGTTCTGCCCAACTTTAAAAATCTGTTTCTCTGTAACCGTTGGGTGTAAGTTGTTGAAATTTGGCATGAGGCCTGTTAATAATCATGTCCTTGTATGTAGGGTGCTAATATGTTATATAAAACCTATTCTGCTGTATGGCAGCGAATCTTGGAATGTCAGTGAACAAATTAAGAAGAATTTGGAAGCAACAGAGATGTGGTTTCTGAGACTAATGTTACAAATACCTTAGATTGCCAGAGTAACTAACAACGATTGCTTGAAAGAAGCTGATGAAAGTAGATCTCTGTGTACAACAATAAGAAAGAGACAAACACTGTTCTTTGGCCACATAGTGAGAACTAGAAAGTCAGTGGAAAAAGGGGTAGAGGCAGACCAAGAGAGATGATGCTGGATGGCATGGAGGGATATCCTCAAGAGAGCTGTTCCAGGCAACCAGGGATCGTGATCTGTGTTGATCAGTTGGCATGATGATGATAATGTATGCTTTTTATTGTTGTTAACAAACATTTAGTTTTCATTTTTTGCCTTATTTGCCATACATGAAAATCAGACACCAATTCAAAACAGTCAGCATGCTTACAGTAACGTGAGTAAATTGAGTAAGGGGAACTTTTCAGAACATTAGACTGCACTCGTGTCATAGGCATTTCAATCTCAGGTGTTCATCTCCAGCATGAGTCTCCCGTGACTGGGGGATTTTTCATTGAATGGAGAATAGGCTATCAAAATAATCTCCGCCCATGTGTCAGGTACTGTATATTCTATTTTTCAGTTGTGCAGAAATTGTTGATCGAAGATCAAAGAAAGTCACTGCTTTAAGAAAATAGCAGCATCTGCGTAATTGTAAATTATATATCAAAAGGACATGTGAAATCTAAGGCCACATGCAAAATTGTGTATTGATCCGTAGAGGTGTTTTTTTTTTTTCAATAGATATTTTCAAATGGGACGGGATGAGTTTTGAAATGCAGTGTACGTACAGATGGCTGTTGGTTTTCCTGTTCAAGTTTTGTGAATTTCTTTACTTACTTATCTAGTCGCTCCTCTTCTACCTTAAGGTGTAGGGGTTTTCACAGAGATCACCAGACTTCTGTATCAGCAGTTTTCTTTCTGGCTTTGTTCCATTCCAGTCCTCTGTCAGTCAGGGACTGTCAGATGTTGTCTTCCCAGCTGACCCTGGGTCATTCTGGTGGTTTAATTTTTAGTCTCCCGTGGTGACCGATTCTCTCCCATTGTGCACACTTGTCCAGACCATCGTAACTGTGACTGATCCACCCGAGTTTGTAAGGCCAGGGTTTCGGGGTATTGTCTCATTGCTAACTTTGTTCCTTCTTGTCGCTAGGACCACCTCTCTCAGATACCTTATTTCTGAGACCTGAAGCTGGCTTCTGTGAGTGTTGTCTTGCCTATGATTTGCACCCCGGTCAGGGCTGGCACATAGGTAGAGCCATTTTTGTCCTCTTGCTAATTTCTCTGTTGCTTGGAAAATCCCAATTTATGGCCTGGAAAAGTCTCCCAGCTGCTACTTTTCCAGCAGCCAACTCTGACTTGACTCAGATTTATCACTAAGATTACACACACATTGACAGATTTAACTCGCATAAAATTGCTCATATACTTTATTTCTCATTTTCAGATTCAACATTATGATTACTCAAACTTCATTTCTCATTCTCAAATTTTAACACCAAGATTACTCAAACTTCATTTCTCATTCTCAAATTTGAACACCAAGATTACTCATAGACTTCATTTCTCATTCTCAAATTTTAACACCAAGTTTACTCATATACTTCATTTCTCATTCTCAAATTTTAACACCAAGATTACTCATATACTTCATTTCTCATTCTCAAATTTTAACACCAAGATTATTCATATACTTCATTCACAGATTTAACACCGGACTCTGTCTGTGTGGCTGTAGCCAGAGTCGGTGCAGGTGACCAGAAGATTGCAGTGGCTACTCTAGAAGAGATGACACATCAAGACCTGGGACAGCCGCTGCATTCTCTAGTCATACCTGGACAGATGCATCCACTGGAAATGCAAATGTTACGGCTGTTTGCTGTCAGCGACCATGCCCGACAGTTTTTGTTAGATAAAGACAGGTAGTGATCTGACTAGGGAGGGGAGGCTTCAAATTAAATACTTGAAGAATATGACAGAAAGTACATAAACCATGCCTTAGTCTGTAACTGTTGTTAAGGATGTCAAGAGTGTTAAGCACATGATATCATGGTGACATGTGAGTTTTAAGATGGCCGCCGCCATTATTGACAGTCACCAAATAGGAACAGCGTTCTGTTATCCGGGTTTAGATCAATGAAGGGGCAGTACCTAAAGAAATTATTCCACGAATAAAGATTCAAAATGGTGATGCGCGCCTGTCAGTCCAGCAAGTGTTTGAGTGAAGTAGAAAGTTTCAGAACAGGATGACTTCTGTGGCAAGACTGTGTGTATGTGTGTGTGCCTGACCCCGTCACATCATTCTTAAACTTCCTGCTTCTCTTGTGCTCTTGCTGGAACCATAGCTCCCTCGCAGTATTATATATCAAATCTAGCTGCGACTCGCTGCAGCCACGGTTGGTGTTCGAAACCGGGCGGTTCCCGGGGTTTGCCCAGCCTCTAGGAAATGGATACCAGTGTTGACACTCTGAGGTAAATGGAGGAACCGTCGCTGTTGCTACAGAGTTACGTGCAAACGGGGACACAGGCGGGAATTCTTATCAGCTTTCTGTACTGGCGGCAGAGCACATACGGTTTATAACCGTGTGCAGTGACGCTGGTTCACATCTCCCGACATTACCTTTATATTCCATAGCAGTAGCAGCATTAGCATAGAGGCTAAATGCTAGTCTGCAGGCCAAAAGGTCCTGAGTTCAAATCTGCAAAGAGGTGAATTTTTTCTATAAATCTGATCTAGGCTCCCAGGTTGACTCAGCCTAAAACGGGTACCAGGTAATCTTATAGGAAGTAAAGGTGACTGGTATTACTTTTCACAGTAATTTTTAGAGAGCAGAACTCTGGCCACTACATGTAAAGAAACAACTTTTTCCAGCATTTGCTCACATACATTTCATATTTTTTCAAATATATTTATTTGTCACATTTACCATAAAATAATAATAATAAATGCAAACACCATGCACTACAATTGAAGAAAGTGTTTTTGGTAACATCATGGTGATGTAGCACAGCATCGCTCATATGATGTTTAATTCAACGGATCAACAACATCATGGCACACGGGTGTAACCCATAAGTGCTCCGTTCCACTTCTGAGATTTTTAGGGCAGTGCACCAACTCCACTGCATCGGTGAGGATCCTGAAACTCCAAATTTTGCTCGGCAGCGCCATCAGGCTACTCTTTTTCGGTTTCCAACTGCTGAGTTATTTTGTTTAACGTGCGCAACTATACACATGGGTGTCCGGTTTTAGTACACCAGAGAAACTACTAAAAGTCCACGTGAAAAAATCCCAGCCTTCACCCGGGTTTGAATCCGGGACCTCCAGCACTCAAGGTAGATGCCATGCCTCGAGACCATTCAGGCCCCCCCCCCCCCCCCCCAATATTATGGCCTCTCAATGCCTGGCAGATTCCTTTGCCTTATATATTTTGGTAAATTGTGCTGCTTCCATAATGAAGGTTGGCTGCCATGAATCCACTACGGTCCTGTTGACGTTTCCCAGCCCATCTACACACTACCTGACCTTTCATTCATACTTTTTCGAAAATCTCATGTATTCCATTAGTGTTATTTCTAAACCTTTACGTTGTTTAATACCCTCCCTCTCCCGATGTTAAGATTTTGATAAAATTGCCAATGCACTACAAGCAGGCTGCATGGACGAAATGCTTATTTAAGGAAAGCTTTATTGCTGGACATGAGAAACTGGAGTTTTTGGGAATCACAAGGAAAACACACACCAGAATTCAGGATTTTGAGAGTTATGACGATATTCCAGAAGACAACGACATGACTGTATATGAAGAAATGTAGATTTTTGTACCCCCCCCCCCCCCCCCCCCCCCCAAAAAAAAACATCCCACAAAAATAAGACCCAGAGCATTTCTAAGCAAAAAAAAAACTAAGGCCTAGTCTTATTTTTAGGGAAACAGGGTCCCATCAATGACCTGTTGACCAGGAAACAAACAAAGATGAAGACACAACAACAAGGCTGTGCAATGTCCCATGAAACTACACATGAAGGTTAGCAACCAACACATGCATTAAATGCACAAGGCAGCCATCAGAAGTGCCAACACAAACAGTCTAACAATAGAAATGCAGTTTATCGTCAATGGAAGCAGCAGTTACAACAAAGCAGTAGTTGCACTCAGGGTACCCAGATCAAAATTTTGAACATCTGCCAAACACTGGATAGAAATGCCCCCTACAAAAATGGCAAGAGGAAGCGATTGCAAATTCATGCTCATATTACAAGAAACACTCCAGATCGAGGATATCATTATCCTCTCCACTGAAAACAGCACCCTACACTTTGTCAGGAGACAAGTTCTTTAATATAGTGGGAGATAGGATAAAGTTATTGCAACTAAGCAGCTCTGTTCTTATTCTCACTGTTGCTTCAATGAATTGCAGCTTTTGTTTTGACTGACAATGCCAGAGAGAACACCAGCTCAATAATAGCATTACTGACTGGAGATATTAAACAAGTCAGAGCAAAACCTGCACACTCTTTACCTCAAATGACGCACTAAGAACAACAACAATCCAACCCAAAACTGTTTACTTTCAGTTACTACTCTATGCTTAACCACTCCGGAATGTTTCTCGATAATCTATACTCCAACCACTAGTACCACTTGCTATCTAGACACGTCTCCATAAATTTTCTCGTATGCATTGACTCACCTGTTAGTAGTTGCTTTTCTGCATTTGTGTCTGTCGACTCTATGTGATAACCTTGGGCCCAAACTGGCCAGCCAGGTGTAACAATATCCTGAACTAATCAAACTCACCTGTGATATCCCCCTTGATCCTGGCATATAATTCCCATGCTGGTGAATGTCCCCTTATTTGCAAATTCCCAATTAATATTTCCCTAGCACACATTCACCACATTATATATTATATTTACCCACTTTGCCTTTGCAAATTTTAGAAAGAAAAAACGTTTGGTGCATAAGGAAAATGCTAATCATTGTTTGTTTCGCCAACAATTTTCTAAAATTGACAATCTTGGTTGCAAACGCAATTAATTGCGTAAGGCATAACAGCCAGAAACTATGATTTGTTATAACAGCAAGCTGGCGATTTGTTCAATGGTCTAAAGTTCATTGTACAAATAAGGCCATTGTCTACATATACAATATCAAACAAGATATATCAAAGAAAGCTAATCTCACACACACAGATTATTATATGCTCGCAATACACGAACAGTCAGTCACATACTAAGAATAGCTACAGCAATAAATCAAATGCGAACAGACTGGCTGTTCACTATTAACATTTTCAGACCCAAAAAAAACCTAAACATTTGGAGAAACAAAATAATGGAAGTCATCAGTGGGGAAGGTATTGGTATTTAAAGGCAAGACAATCAACTTTACTACACTAAGTTTTATCTCACATGGCTCAGTGGGACAATTCACATGCGGTTTTGCACCAGGACTAGAGCTCATACTGGCCAACAGCTAGCTACACTTCTCTGTGGAAACATCATAGAAACAGTTACCCTACTGGGGGTTTGGTCAAGGCAGATGGGATCTACATTTCTTTCAAAGTTGGAGAGCATCTGCATGAGGCAAGGAATCAACAGTGCATACAAATACGCCAGATCTGTGAAGTGGATGTGCATGCAGCATTCAAGTCCTGGAACCAGGTCACAGTCCAGAAGTGAAGTAGACTAACTAGGACTTTCCACCAGAGTTTACAGCTGGCAAACATGAAGAAGATATGGCCCGGTTTTCTGTAGAGCAGCTGGTCAGCAACCACAATCATCTCAAAAAGGATGGAACACTTAACTCCGGCAATCACCCCTTTGAGTTCAAAAGTCTCAACCACAACCTCTTGACCTTCAAATTTCTTTATATGAGGGGTCCTAAAACGAAAACCTTAAACGTGTGATAGAAACCACAATAACCATGCCACTGTCAAAAGTGTAGCGACCATCTTTAAACCGTCATTTTAATGTCACTATGTTAATCTGCATTGTGATGTCATGCGCTTAACACTCTTGACAACCTTAATTACAATACTGACAGGTTACAACACAATGGCATTGTTACTGTAATTTCTATCTATTATTTTTTTAGGGTTTCTAAGTTCTAGGCTTTTCACCTGAAGCCCCCTTCTTTGTTACCATTAAATGAAGAAAAGGTAACAATGTTCTCAAACCATATTTAATATATACAAGAAATCAATGATGGCAAAACACCAAAGGAAAAGCAGGGAACAGTCACTGATGGAATAACATAGGGAAGCATCTATGTTTGCACAACTCCAATCGGAAAACACAGGGATGTGTGGCTGATGGGAAAAAGGGAAGTCAAACCCAAAGGAGAAGGTGGAAAGAGTCACTGATGGAACAATCCGGGAAAGAGTCAAATGTTTGCACAACTCCAATCGGAAAACACAGGGATGTGTGGCTGATGGGAAAAGAGGGAAGTCAAACCCAAAGGAGAAGGTGGAAAGAGTCACTGATGGAACAATCCGGGAAAGAGTCAAATGTTTGTGCAACTCCAATCGGAAAACACAGGGATGCGTGGCTGATGGGAAAAGAGGGAAGTGAAACCCAAAGGAGAAGGTGGAAAGAGTCACTGACGGAACAATCCGGGAAAGAGTCAAATGTTTGCACAACTCCAATCGGAAAACACAGGGATGCGTGGCTGATGGGAAAAGAGGGAAGTGAAACCCAAAGGAGAAGGTGGAAAGAGTCACTGATGGAACAATCCGGGAAAGAGTCAAATGTTTGTGCAACTCCAAAGGAAAAAACAGGACATGGGTGATTGATAGAAAAACAGAGAAGAGTCAATGAGAAAGATCACACATGTCATGGATGGGTAGCACTGAAAAACTAACATGTTGACAAGAGACAGACACACGAGGGAGCAAGCTATACACAGTCAAGTTGCAGGCGCTACTTCAAAAACCTTATAGGTCACAAGATCCTCCATAAAGCATCATGTAAACACCTGCTACTGCAGATGTAAATAAATCTGTATGTACAGTGTGCTTTTAACCCAAATTAACTGGCAAAGTCAATGGAAGGGTTACAGCTAAATACTGCCAGTGTAAAAATATAGGAATTATTGAGCTGTCCTTTGGTTGTTATCTTTTACATTAATTCAACAGCATGAAAACGGAATGTATAAAACAAAGACCCTTCCATGAATATATCAGTGTTCAAAAACATGAATTTTGAGCCATCCCTCATTGTCAACAACATTAACGCAACAGCATGAAAATGGAATGCACACACCCAAAACAAAACTCCAATCTATGAATGTTCAATCTCTGTCATACTATATAAAAGAGCTTATCTTATAGTTTCTCATATCCCTGTATGGGTTCCAGGCCCCATTGTAGGGAAAACATAAACAGACCCACTGCCTCCCCAGCTAGCATGTCGTTAGGAGTCGACTGACTGGGGGCTTCCTGGAAGTCGGAGTGCATCTACATGAGGGGCAAAGAACCAACAATCTGCATACAGATAAGTCAGATCTGTAAAACAGATGTGCGCTCAACACTCAGGTTCTGGAACAAAAGACTCAAGTTCAGAACTTTCTGCTGGAATTTACAGCTGGTGAACGCGAAGAAGAAGTTTCACGTTGACCCCTGAGTGTTTTGGAGTACTCTACCCCTTGTTATGGCCGTTGTCGTTCATGTTTTTGTCGAGAAAGGCCCAGCGCAGAAACATCCTTTTGTGTTGTTTTCTGCTTCTTGATTTCGTTAAGCTTTGCAGTCACTGTTCATTGGATTAATTCCTTAGATAAAAGAGCTGCAACACAACATGCGGCCATACATAGTTGCTATGATAACCTTCCTTAGAAAACCTCAATAACCCGATCCTGACATCCCAGTTTATGGCCAACAATGGATTAACCAACCGACTAAGGAATCACTGGAGACTTCCATTTTGACTTTTGTAGAAGTCGAGTTTTCCTGTGTCAGTGGCATTCACAGAAGTCCCGGCATGAGAAACTTTATTAATCATATTCTTAAGCGCTGATGAATGTATTCCCTTTAATGCTTCACTCTGTACGTGTTTACTGATTACTCCCTTTAAACATAATTTACATAATTCCGTGAAAAAATTAAAATGCAGATAAATTTTTTTAAACTCTTTAAGTGATCTGTTCAAAACTGCTTGCTTTTTTAATCTCTTTCAGTCCCACGAGGTTTCACGGATGGTATCAATCGGAAACGATAGTCATATTGAATAAAACATAAGTACATAACTTTAACGGAGGCAGTATTTACGCACTCTGCATGAAGCATAGGGAATAGGCCATGTTTACATATTAAAACAAGTGACAAGATTTCAGTTGTACTCATGCATTACATGGTTAATCTGGACATTACCACATCACGGACGGTGCATTGTTTGGAACTAAGAGAGTTTGGATTTTTTCACGAATTCCTATGGGCTCATAGCCCTTTTTTACTATCGTTTGCGAGGGCAAACTGGTTAATGAGACAATCCATTGTTTTGATGAAGCCAGCCAAGATTTTCTTGAGCATATCATAGAGTCACTAAATAAGCATGTATATGTGAACTCATAAATATTACCACTAATAGCCCCATCTTGAATAAGTAAAGTCAAAACTGTGCATTCTCTAAATACACAGACAGTAGAAAGACATTATTTTTCTTAGAATACAATCTCGATATTGTGTTGTACATGTGAACACAGGATTCAGATATAACTAAACATAATGAGAATACACTTATAATGTGCTTGCATTACAAGAAGGGAGACAAGTTGTTATACATGTAAAACAGTCAAACATTGTAAGTATAATGAAAGAAAAAGTACCTGAAAATAAGACAAAAAGAAATACAGGTTATGTCACAAAATAGTGAACTGAGTGTACTAGATATTATGGCACAAAACTCAACAAAACAATCACAGGAAAAACAAAATTTATAAGAAGAAAATCAGTTATCATGTTTTGAACTGAACTGTCATTCTGCATGGGGTGTAGTAGCTAGACGCTTGTCTACTGACTCAGAGGTTTTAGGTTGAAATAGGATATAGATCACAACAACCCTTGACTGCAGACTGATCTATAAATATACGGGTTTAACAACATATGCCCGATGGGTAATAGAGCCAAAAGGATCTTTATTTAGTTATACATTATGTAACCAGATTTATTTCTGACACCAATATTTCCTTTAGTATCTTCTTATACACCCTGCTGTGTGGCATTGGTTGTCTATGTTGGTAATCATGTTTACCCACAACTGTCTATCTCGGGTACTATCAATCAATTCTGATACAGATGAACTTCCATAGTTTGTACCTTGTGGTGTTGGTAATCATATTTACCCACAACTGTCTATCTCAGGTACTATCAATCAACTCGTCATCCCCTCGTGGGACGCCATTTTTCCCTATTTTGAAGCCCCACCTTGGCTCTTGCCAGGGGCTGCAATATTGCCCGACCATAAATATGGTCTAATGGCTGAACGCGGTTTCCGGGACCTCTCCACGGGTGATCCTCATCCACATAGTGGCACTTTGTGTCATTGGGTGTTTATTAACTTGGGCGATGTCCTAGTTGGGTAAAATATACTACTACTACTACTACCAATCAATTCTGTCACAGATGACCTTCCATAGTTAATAATTTGTGGTGTTGATAGACATGTCTATCCACAACCTTGTCTCATGTACTTTTTATAGTTCATGCCATGTGGCGTTGGTGGTCATGTCTATCCACAATTTTCTGTCTCGGGTACTTTTGATCACTCCTGACACAGATGATCTTCCATAGTCCATATCTTATAGCGTTGGTAGCAATATCTCTTCACAACCGTCTTGTGTACTTTTTATAGTTCATGCCATGTGATGTCAGTAGTCATGTCTATCCACAAATTTCTGTTTCATTTACTTTTAATCACTTCTGACACAAATGATCGTCTATACCATGATGTCCAATTGTCTAGCATCTACTCTCTCTGTCTCTTTTCACCCTCCAACTTTCCCACCATCACGATCTACTCCAGTTTTCTCCTTCTTATGGCATGAACAAAGAATGTAGATTGTCTCTTCTGATGCAGGCAATCAGTTTTTTTTTTTATTAGTCATGTTTCTTTTAGGACACCTTCATTACTCTTTTTATCTGTCCAAAGTGTTTCACTTGTTTATAAAACCACACTGCCGCTGCCACATAATGTTTCGCTGATCGTCCAACTGTCCGTGATTCACTTCCATATATCAGGGTAGGGTGTATGTATATCTTGAGAATCCTCTATCTCATCTTGTACTACGTACCCTGTTAACTGTCTGAATTTACAACTTCTGTGGTGAACGAGGGGGGCCTCTGAGCCTAAGAATTTAGGGCCGCAAGGCTAGCGCTGTCGCCATGGACTGTGCACGTTGGGATTGTATTTTTGTTCCCCGACAGAAAATAATCCACAACCTTGCCAAGGATTTGAACCCGGGCCTCCTGCATAAAGCCAATGTTCATTTTCTTAAAAAGGTGGTTGGCAGGCTGTATTGCGGTTTACAGCTAGACTGTGATATCTGCGCTGACAACAGATCTGACCAGCAAAACTAATCGGTCACATCTCATGACACGCTTATTAGGAAATGGTGCTTTGATTTTTTTTCCCTACAAAATCCTATTGATGGTTCATGAAATTCCCCTGACACCCACGGTTGATATCACATTAACTGATCTCTGCTAGAGAAACCCATCCCTAATCTGTGTGTTAAAAAACATGTGTCTACTCTATTACATTTTATAACCCATCCCTAATCTCTGTGTGTTAAATCACATGTGTCTACTTGATTACATTTTATAACCAGCCTGAGAATGTATTAATAACACATAGGAAACCAAGATCTATTAGTTTACTGTGTGACCACAACCAGTTGTGGGATTGTACAGCATTCCAGCAGAACACAACTCAGTCAAAGGTGACTGTTCGAAGTGCATTATTCTCTGCAATTTGAAAGGTAGCAATTGCTCCGTCATTAAATTTGAAAGACATTCCTCCGTCAATCACGAGACAAGCGTCCCACATTCTGGAACGGATGGTCAACCTGCAAAAGAACAAGATACCTCAATGAATCAGCTTCGGTATCACCTTCCACGGGAAATGCAAAATTACCGCTAACCTCTATACGTTCAATTGGAAACTTCCTGAATATTATCTCACTACAAACTAGGCCTCTTTAAAGATTATACTGTAGTATGTTAGGCTTATGATGTATTTCCGTTAGATGTCGGTTTTTTATTATCTTACCCCAGATGATGTCACAGGACAGTCCAACAGTTTATAGAGTGGGTTTCAAGACTTTCTGATACTTTTAACGACCCCAAAACATCTAGAACTGGCCCTAACCCTAACCCACCTACGCCCCGTGAGGGAGTGCAGCCTAGGTCCCACAACTGCATGCAGCGTATCTACCACCCCCTGAAATATTAGACTGTCCCGTAACTTGTGAATTTCCCCCGTTTGGGGCAGGATGTTAATAAAGCACCCAGATGTTTTTTTTTTTTTTAATAAATTGTTTTGACTGTAAGTCATTATTGTTTAAAAATGAAGGTTCCAGTCGAATGCATTCCAAAGATTGTAACCAATTTTTAATTGTTTTTGATGATGTTTATATTATACAACCTATTAGACTTATAACATTTTTGGATTAGGTTTGTTACTATACACTTTAAAATGTTCAGTAATGTAAGTATAAATGGAGCACATTCCAGCATTTGTAATTATGAGTTAGATGTTTTGAACATTTTAAAAATTTATTTTTAACTATGAAATGATGTACAAAAGAATAACTCTATGCAAAAAATGGACTGGAAGGGCTGAATGTTGGTAAGACAGGCCTGCATATCCAATTCTTAATCCTTTGAAAATAAAGTTTGTTCGCTTGTTCATTCTTTGTAACTTTCACTGGCTATAAACTTTGACAGAACGTTCCGGTTGTTTGTCCGCTTCTGGACTTTGTTCTTGTTCCATATCTTCAATTTTTGCATGCACATCCATTTTACAGAACTGGCTTACTTAGTATGCAGACTGCTGGTTCCTTGCCCTACAGGCAAATGTGCTCCAACTTGAAAAAAAAAAAACCCTAATTGGTCGCCATTTACAACATGCTTGTTAATGTTGAATTGAGAAATGACATAACAGCACTCAGAACACTCCCATAACCGCAAATAAATGGTAGATAATTATACTTCCTCTTGACGTTCAGTTTCATATGTTCAGGCCAGACCATCAGGTAAGCTGCCTCTATGAACTCGCATGTCAGTAGCATGTCTCCCATAGCCTGTGATGATTGAGGGACTCAAGTGGGGTTAAACCAGTACCGCAGCACCATGTATTGGTTCCGCATTTATGGAAGTCTCTTTGAGTGGGGGGGGGGTGGGTGATGCTCCTGTTCTGCCTCTGCTTTCTTCTGGGGGCTGGCCAGCATTATGTGGCTGCTCTGGACTGGTCTGATGGGCAGCACCACCAATGGATTAGGAAACGAAGATGAACACAAAACAATGAGACTACCTGGAAAGGCTAACCCCGGCAACAGATACCTGCAGAAGTCGGATGTATCGGCTGAATGGTGTAAATATTGCAGCCATGTTGTAAATGGGTACAATGCATTTATGCCCTTAGTTAAACAAAGAAGAAGCTATTCTCAGTACCAGGCCAGGACAAGAGGCTGTCAAGAATCTTCTCTCTCTCTCATTTTCCTCCAACAATCTACACAACAAGTTATTTATGTGATTAAAATTGATCGCATGTGCAACTGCTGACCTGTTTGTGACTTCTGCTAGTCACTAGTGCTACCATCCATGATGAACTGCATTTCTAATGTCGGACTGTTTGTGTTAGCACTTCGGATGGCTACAGAATGTTTTTAATGTGTGTGTATGCTAGTGCTAGCGCATATGCTGAGACAGCAGTTGTCAATCTTTCCACAAGTGACTGATAAAAATTGTGTGTGTTTTTCGTTGGCACATGAGCGGAGCAACTATGGGGTGACCCATTTGCTATGAAGCAGAAACTAAGATTACCAGATTTACACAAACAATTCTACGCTATATTTCAAAACAAAATAATTACTAACTTTTTGGAAAATCCACCAGTGTGCTCTGCTTTGTAGACAGCTGAAAAAAAAATGATGGAACATGAATTATGCTAAGTACGACTGGCTATTATTATGAAGCAGGCCTGCTACAGTTGTTGAATTAATCATGAAACATTACACTAAGCACAATTTACTAATTATACATGCACATTTTGAAGCGGGCCTGCTGAAGTTGTTGAATAATCAAACATTCATCACAATGAGTATTCTAACATGAATAATCAAACATTCATCACACTGAGTATTCTAACATGAATAATCAAACATTCATCACACTGAGTATTCTAACATGAATAATCAAACATTCATCACACTGAGTATTCTAACATGAATAATCAAACATTCATCACACTGAGTATTCTAACATGAATAATCAAACATTCAACACACCGAGTTTAGTCTAACATGAATAATCAAACATTCATCACAATGAGTTTAGTCTAACATGAATAATCAAACATTCATCACAATGAGTTTAGTCTAACATGAATAATCAAACATTCATCACAATGAGTATAGTCTAACATGAATAATCAAACATTCATCACAACGAGTTTAGTCTAACATGAATAATCAAACATTCATCACAATGAGTTTAGTCTAACGACTTATGTTTAGATACAGGCCCTATGTATTTGAGTGATTATAAAACATTCTTTACAGTACATATACTTTGCTATTTAAAGGAAGAGATCCCAAGAACGACATACTGAGATAATGTCAAATGACGGGGGGGGGGGGGTAAAAATTATATACACAAGAGAGCTGAATGGTCGTAGACCACGAGGCAGACCAAGAAGACGATGGAGAGATAATGTCCAGACAGACCTGTAAACACTTGGTGTCACCAACTGGAAAGAGAAGGCCAACCAGAGAGATGAGTGGAGGCAGGTGATGTCTGCAGCAATGAACCTTAAGGGCTCGGAATGCTGAAGAAGATTCCAAGGACAGAAAAAGCGCTACAAGGAACTCTAAACTGCTCTCAATTGTTTTGGCATCAGCACAGCAACACAGGAGGCTGCTGCACAAGACAGTTCTGGATGGCGTGCATCCCTCACGCATGGTGCATCAGCCTGTCAGGCAGCGGAGGTTGCACAGGCAGAGAAACAGAGGCAGATTAGAAAGAACCGTACTGCTAATCCCACACTTACTGCAGCTTCCATCTGTTGTCTGCCCTGCTCAAGAACTTCCCAGGCTCATATTGGACTAATCAGCCACCTTCGTACTCATAATCATTGATCATTACTACTTTGCATTAAAAGTGGTTTTCAACATTAGAGATGGACGAGCAACAATGCTTTGCTATTGACTAGATGAGGATGCAGTCCTTTTGTGTGCAGCTGAATAAGTATTCAACATTTGTTAACGGAGGCTAGGCTGCTATATGGTGCAGGCTTGTTGCAGCTTATGTATTTTCAAGTTATTACTTTTTAAAAAATGCTATTTCCGCTTCTGCATTGACCCTTACCAACCTTTTGCCCTAGTAATGTTTAAAAAAAATATTTTTTTTAAAGGCATCTGACCCTGTTGGAATTCCATTCTAAAAAATCTCAAAATAATGATTAATTTCACACAGGTCACTAATAAATTTAATAACAATTTATTTATCTACACTGCAATACACATGAACAAGATGAAGCAATAAATGGAATACATTCCTCGGGACATGAAAAATATATGTATTGAGTGACTTATGCTGTGACCTCTACTACTGAGGCTATGGGGAAAATCTGATGCCAAGCTATTTGGCCCAAAGGAAAACCGTAAATTTGATTTTAGTAAATGTGGGAAAACAGCCCACGGCATTAACTATGCATCCAATAAAGAGGTCACTATAGATAAGTCTGAAAAATGACACTCATGGGGAACTGGGCCCGACCAGAAGTGTCGGTTCAGTGGCGTCTTAGGGCGATTGAGTTAAAAGAGCTACTGGTATGTTGTGCTGTGGTTTAAAGCCAGGCTGTGATATTTGCGTCTTTAGGCTGAACACATTCAATTTCAGCAAAGCCTAATCATTCTACAACATGCTTGTTAGGGGATATTGGGTCTATACCCCCCCCCCCCACATAAACCCCCAAAACATGGAGCGTAACTTGCTGATTCAATCCTTACTAACTAAAAATTGAAAAAAACAAAAAACAAAGGAACAACAAATTTTAGGATGAAAATTGGGGTGGGGGTGGCTGGGACAAACTATTCCGGCAAGTGAACTGACTGCCTCACGTCATCTTGGAGCATGTGTGAGTACTAATGTTTTGTGGCCAACAAAAGTGCTGTCAACCCGTGTCTGGTAATCCTAATAGATTCAGATTTGATCAGGCAGCTCAGTACGTACGTCTGCGGGACAGGCCACCCAATGGCTACTGTTGCTGCATATTATAATGCAATAGTGTGTCTGAGCAGTGTCCTAGTCCGGCGGTCTTCCTCTTCTCCTGTGACTGCCCCTACAAGGGCAGTTAGCGTGTTGTGTTGTGGTTTACACCTAAGCTGCAACATCTGTGCCTTTTGACCCAATTATCCAATTTCAGCAAACCCCTAAATTTAAATTACTCGCCTTTTATGACAATATGAGCGCTCTTCCCATGTGCCCAATATGCCTAAAGGCGTAGAAAGGGATCTTTACCTTTTTTTACTTACTTTTATGACATGCAGTGGGTCTTTCCATCTTTTCCTCTCCCGAAACGGGACAAGTCACAAAGTAAAGAATGAGCCACGATTAAATGTTTTCAAGCTTAAAGAGATGTAACCCTGTTAATTCTCTGCTACATTCATATTTACTGATCATTTTTACACTGTGTAGAAGTTAATTTTTTTTTTTTTGCTCAATAAATGGAACTGTTAGAGTTTGTGTTACTTGAGTAAAACTGCTGTTTTCTTTTAAATGATTAGTTTTCGGCAATTTTCTAAATAGGGATAACTGGCTTTGTTTCTTTTCTTAGCAGCGAAGAGATCAAATATTTTTACCGTTCGAGTGCAAGGGCAGCCTAGTCATACCATAATTTGACTTTTTCAATGTATGTTTTGTCCAGAACCATCATCTTTTTCTCACCGATAGTCTCACTGGAATTTGTAAGTTCTCTATCTAATTTCTTTATCAGTGATTCTGCCATACAATTTGCTTCCTTCTGTTCTCCACAAGGAATTCCAGAGGAATCTGACTACAAAGCTCAACAATATGGAGAAGCAGAAAAACGTGCACAAAACAACACAATGTAGCGTTTCGGCCGGGCAGCCTTTTTCAAACATAAGCTTGTTCTCCACAAGCACAAGTTAACAAAAACAATTTTATGCTTCATCTTCTTTCTTTGTGTTCACCAGTTGTAAACTCTGGCGGAAAGTTCTGGTTGTTCATCCACTTTTGGACCGCAGTCATGTTCCAGAACCTGTGTGTTGCGTGTGCATCCATTTTACAGATCTGACTCCTTTGTATGCAGACTGCTGGTTCCTTGCCTCTAAGGCAGATGCACTCCGACTTTTAAGGAAGCTCCCAATTAGTCGACTCTTACGACACGCTTTTGGGTAGAAAGTGGGTCTATTCTTTTTTTTCCCCTATAATAGGGCCCCGGAACCCACATGGGAAACCAGCTTCACCAAATTTAAGGAAAAAAAACTGACTGGCAATATAACAGCTAGACAAATGAGCTGGCAGCAAATCAATATAATCAGAACTAAAAAAAAATGGCTCACCATTTCTGACAGGGTCACGGATTGTGTAAGCCATAAGCGGATCACTGGGGTCGAAGCGTAACGTTTTATTGAAAGTGTCCATGACTTTTTCTGTCATTTCTTTATCACGAACCGGGAAACTGCTGCCAGATACCTGATTGGCTGAAGAGAAAAAGTTGGATTTATATAAAACAACTGAAACTGTTTAAATATCAACAATCCTTCATATGCTATGTTGTAGTTTATCAAAAGAGAGGAGGACAACTCTTTCTTTCATCCGTCATGAAACTATACTTGGTTGTCTGTGAGTTCGGAGGTGACTTAGAAGCTCAGTATGGGCCGGATGGGATCTAGGAAAAAAAAGGCATATAAGAGTGTCTGTAGATTAAGGACCTGTTATACAGGTCTCTCCAGCTTGCCTGCGCTGTTCGGTTGTCTTTTTTCTTGAGGCCTCGCAAGTTGTAGCCTATCTTCAGATAGACATTCAACATATAGCCTGGTCCTGTGCAGCAGTTTTCTAAGTTTCAGGGTTTATACTGAAGGCTTTAAGTGATGCCTTTCTCCATACCTCCATGATGTTGAACATATACCCCCCCTCCCCCTGAGTGATGTTTGGTCAATAAAAGGTAATAGGTCTGGCCTCCGGTGTTACAGTGCTGTGTAAAAGGTAATCCTTAATCCCTTCAGTATTAAACAACGCACCACATGTGACTGCATTACTATATTTGCTCACACATGAATTTGCTTAAGAAGAACATTCAGTTAACATAAACAAAATGTTGGTCCTAGCAGAAAGGTATTATTATTGGTCCCCAGTTAGCACAAATATATTTAACATGAATTCTTGATGTTTTATCCCCCTTTATTAGACTACTGACCCCTTAAGTGGCTTTAGGAATCCACCCCGTTTGGACTTTTAGCCACTATAGTGGCCATCAAAATGACACTATAATATTATTTCATTAGCTCGGCCAGCGCAGAGTTCCAATACTAATAGTACCGGTCACAATCTGGTTTTATGTCCGTCTTGCCTTTCCTCTGAGTCTAGTGGGCCGGCCAGACCCTCTGGTTACACCCAGGTGCCTCATTCTCTCCAGGCCATAACAATTTTCTTTCTCTATTGATTCTAATGCTTTTTTCCCAAAGGTCCTTGACCACATCTGCCTTGTCATGTATCAATTCACCACCCAGTGGTGCAGATCCAGCCAATCTATCTGCCTGTTCATTAGCCACTAGGCTGGCATAGCCTGGAGAAAAGATCCAAAGTATACTCACCTCCCTGTGAAGCTTGCCACTCTGCTCGAAGCATCCCTGTCTTCACCTTTCTCAGCATGCCTTTAGATTTACAATTATGACATGTGTGTGCATTTTATTCTGTAGCCACCGGAGAGCTGCAGTTACCGCCTCCACCTCCATTCTCATGCTAGATGCTAGGCTGTCTTGTACTAAAGATTTCAGTTCTACTGATTAAAAGTAAAAGTAAGCCTATGTTTCTCCCTCAGTGTTGAAAATCTTACAGAACCTCTACTCACCCCCCCCCCCCCCCCCACAACTGAATCAGTTAGCCTTTCAGTGTATAGATTCTCTGTCTGTTTCAGTGTATAGATTCTCTGTTTCTATCGCACTATTTATTTCATCCCAGAGACAAGTCAGGATGAAACTTCTTAACAGTGATGACAGCAGGAAAAAGAATGGAAGGCAGGAACATAAACATACCAATGTCAAGTATCTTCTCCACAGAATCAAGGGACAGCTGGTTGATGTGAAAGTGCCAGGAACTAGATCCGGTCCCTGTGCAGATGGTCACACCGGAGCTCTTCTGTTTCTCCTTGGGGGTGGTGTCTGTAGTGATTTCATAATATGAAACTCTGAGGACACATAAGTGCATGCTGTTAATATGAGTTTGTAGCAAGATGGCGGATTTCGATCTACTGTTTGTGAAATTATATTAAGCTTTTTTTATGTGCAAAGTGGATATTTAAGACACTACACTGGATTACTATATTTCAACTGGACTAAATTGTTCAATTCAATTGGATTACTGTGTTTTAAGGACAATTTAAACAAAAAGTGATTTAAAACTTGGACTACTTTTTATCCCACTATATTTATGTTGACACACTAGGCATAACAAAGCGTAACCACAAAGTTCTGATCACGACGCCTGACCGAAGGATCGCATGCATGTACTGCAATCAAGATGACCACTGGTCGAACAAATGTCCTGAGAAGAGGGAGAAGACCAACCCACACCACCTAACGACAAAGACCACGGAACCAGAGCCAAAGACGAAAGAAACAAAACCCGCTGCCAAAGTCACAGCTCCTGTAGCGGAAGAAATTCTAAAAGAGGGGCAGTGAAGGCACTCAACAAAGCAACTGAGAGCAAAACAAAGACAACACTTCTTCCAAAGACAACACCAGCGGCACAAGAGACGCCAAAAGAGACCACAACCCAAATACTCAATACAGAAATTGAGAACAAAAACCAAGAACCACAAAAGACAAAGGCAGCAAAGCCAGCTGGCACGGCGGCCGTTCCCACAGCACACAAGACCACGAAAGAAGAACTTATCACAGCCTTGGAAAAGGAAACACTTCCAGACTCACCACTATCACCATTGTCCCCCGAACCACTAGAAGAGTTCCAAAAACATCCCGAAACACCAGAAATAGACGCAGAAGAGACGATGGATGACAACAAAGAACCAGAATTAGACGGAGGCCTACTATGGGACTTTTTTCTACAAGAATTAAAAAGACTGAGAAGGGAAGCCGGAGAACAAACCAATTTTGGTTTGTCCGCATATGAGGAGTTCTATTACCGAAACCACAGAAAATATATCGATGACCTAGCACGGAAACAAGCAGAGGGAAGTCGCGAAGAAGGAGAATTAGCAGAACAGACAGATCTAGAGATCTTTTACGAGAAACACAAAGAAGAATTTCAAAACAAAGCAGACCGGTTCTGGGAAGAATGGGTCAAAGACCAAACTGGACAATAAAATGGAAACAACTGACTTTGATAAAAACAAATAAAAAGTGACTAAGCCCCACTTTCACCAACCTCCCATAACCCTTTTCTTTCTTGTGTTTTTTTTACTACACTTGAACATAACACTAACAAACACAAACAAACGGCAACAGATGTAAACAGACAAACAATACATAAGCAAACAGACAAATAATTACACGATAGCAGGAAAAACACAATACTCGCAAACATACAGAGTTGAAATAAAGGGGGAACCCCCCCCCCCCCCCAAAAAAAAACTAAAGGTGTGGAAAAGGGACATTTAAAAAAAATTCTAATATGAGTTTGTAGAGCCAGAACAGGTTTTTGCACCAACTTTATTTCTTAATTCAGTTCATAATTAAAGAAGTATAAACAAGGAAGCTATGGACAGTTAAGACTACGGGGCTCTCATTCAAGAGACCTAGGTTTGAAATCTTAGTAAGGTCATGGATTTTGGGTCAGGGGCAAAAAACTAAATCCTAACCTGCAGTCACGGGTGAATGCACTAGCTATGCAGCCATACATCTTCAGGCTCATGACTTCATGCTCCATACCCATGCTCCACACCCATGCTCCACACCCATGTTCCATACCCATGGTCCATACCCATGTTCCACACCCATGTTCCACACCCATGTTCCATACCCATGGTCCATACCCATGTTCCACACCCATGGTCCATACCCATGGTCCATACCCATATTCCATACCCATGCTCCATACCCATGGTACATATGGAAAGTATAGATGACAATGAGTCACAGTGCATTTTCCTATTGAGACTGTGGTCATGAATAATTGTAAGAGGCAGGGTTTTCTTCTGACCAGTATGGCTACGGGATGGACCCAGTCTCAGAAAAATGGGTGACAGATCATTTCTTCAATTCTCTGAGGTTGACAGATAATGAGGAAAGTAAGTGGCTGCCTCTCCCAGAGTTAAAATAAACAGGGCTGTTCAACTAAGTCAACTCAGGGGTCAAAAGGTTGAATATGTGCATCGTCATGGCCTCAGATCCGCTCTCCAGTATAGAAGGATCATAAATACAAGTGGCAATGATCCAGATGTCATTTGCTTGGCCTCTGTGAGCCAGATGGTGAATGCGGGCCGCCGGTCAAATAGCTCAATTTTACAACATGACTGGTAGGGTTCAGTGGATTTTTTTCAGCGTTCAGAGCCCTTGAGATCCATTGTTGCAGATATCAGCCACCTCCATTTATTTCTGTAACTGGTCGTCTTTTTCCAGTTAGTGATTTCAAGTGTTTGTCTGCCTGTTTATTATCTCTCCACCGCCTTCTTGGTCTGCCTCATGGTCTTTGTGTTTCTGCCATTCTTTCTATATGGCCCCAACCACAGCAGTCTCATGAAGCCAGTCATTATCAAGAATTTCACAGTCACTTTTTCCTTTCCACTGGGGTGTCAGTGCTACCAATGGCTTTGGAAACAGGTTGAACATCAGTAAACATCTTGAGACTTTACCTATCATTATTGTGTGGGTTCTGAAAAGAATAGACCCACTGTCCCCTCAACAAGCATGTCATAAGAGCAAACTAATTAGGGGTGCTCCCTTTAAAGTCATAAGTCAGAGTGCATCTGTCAGTGAAGCGAGGAACCAACAATCTGTCTACAAATAACCCAGATCTGAAAAACAGGCGTGCATGCAAAACTCAAGTTCTGGAACAAGACCAAAGTCCAGAAGTGGACAAACAACCTCAGCTTTCCACCAAAGTTTATAGCCGATTAGTGCTAAGAAAGAAGAATATCTATGAATAATTTTTTTTTAAACAGCCATCAATTCTGCGTCTGTCTATAATTATTCTTCTTTGTTTGCGTTCACCAGTTGTAAACTCTGGTGGAAAGTTCTGGTTATTCGTCCATTTCTGGACTGCAGTCCTGTTCAAGAATCTGAGTGATGCGTGTGCATCCATCTGACAGATCTGACACATTTGTGTGCAGACTGTTGGTTCCTTGCCTCCCTCTTGGGCAGATGCAGTCCGACTTCAAAGGAAGCCTCCAATTAGTCAACTCTTACGACATGCTTTTGGATAGGCAGTGGGTCTATTCTTGTTTTTCTACTAATAGGGCCCCGGAACCCACACGGGAAAGGGGGAAGGCGGATAGGCCTGTTAAATAATAAAACGGGTCCCTCACCTTGCAGACAGAGACTCCCCGACAAATACTTCATTCAGAGCCAAGCAGGGCAGTTTTCTGGAAGGAAACTGCATCTTCTCTGGTGCACTCTGCCGAAGAAGCCGAACCTCCTCATCCTCTGCTATATGTTCTGTGAAACGGTGCTCTGGGAAAATCAGCTGCTGGTCATGAAGTTCCACGGGGTCATCATTGATGTGCCGCCCTGACATAGTTACCTCAATACGCTGTCTCCATTTCCACCTTAACAAACAGTAAACAAATTATTCAAAGTAAATCAAATTTTTAACTAAGTTCGATATTTCCCTAAATCCTGCTTGTTGTTCATGACATCATCATCATCAAGTGCCTTGTTGACTGGTGTGGCGCGATCACACTTCTCTATACCTGACTTCCAACAGCATGTAATAGTTTGTGTACTTACACCCTCCAGTGCCATGACTAAAGACTGCCAAGAATCAACTCTTGTTGTCATCTTGCAATAAATCTTTACAGATGACATATATTCCAGATTTGGTGTTTTTTTCCATAAAAAGGCCCAACAACAAAATGATGACTGCCTTTTATGTTGTTAGTGATTAAGTTTTCAGGGCTTAGCATCTCCCAAAATATTTGTACTTGTTTTTGCTGTGCAAGGAATTTTAGGAATTCTTCAAAACCACATCTCTGATGCTTTCGAGCAGCAGTTCTCAACCTAACGCTGTGACCCTTTAATACAGTTCCTCAGGTTGTGGCGACCCTTTAATACAGTTCCTCAGGTTGTGGCGACACTTTAATACAGTTCGTCAGGTTGTGGCGACACTTTAATACAGTTCCTCAGGTTGTGGCGACACTTTAATACAGTTCCTCAAGTTGTGGCGACCCTTTAATACAGTTCCTCAGATTGTGGCGACACTTTAATACAGTTCCTCAGGTTTTGGCGACCCTTTAATACAGTTCCTCATGTTGTGGCGACCCCCCCCCCCAGTCATAAAATTATTTTTGTTGCTACTTCATAACTTCACTGAATATGTATTTTCCTATAGTCTTCTACTTCTAAATCAAGCCAGAGTCCGAAGAATCTCAGCGCAGTGCACAAGCTCTGCAGCACCAACGAGGATCCCGATGATAGATAGCTACAAATTAGATAAGACAAAATGCTTACCCAAATTCTCCAGCTAACAGTCTTTTCAATGCATTGCCAAATTTAGGAGCAGCATAATCATTCTTTGGCAGGCACAGGTGCCCTTCTGATCTATAATTTGTGAGGGGAAAAAAAAACATTATTCAAAATAATGCTTTCCTGTCGTGAATATGAATAATATGCGCACAAACAAAGTATTGCACAACTGTCTGGCGTCAGGATGCGGGCGCTGGAGGTCCATGTTTAGGAGGGAAAAGAACAGACCCACTACCTCCCTAACAAACATGTTGTAAAAAGATACTCATCAGGGATGTGTCCTTTGAAGTCGGAGCACATTTGCTTGAGAGGTGAGGAACCAACAGTCTGCATACAAATGAGCCCAGATCTGTAAAACGGATGTGCATGCACAATTCCACAATTCAACCTTTGGAATACGACATGAACAGCGGGAATTAGGATGGCTAATATCTAATATCGTTTTATGTTAACAAAATGATTAAGTGGTTAATCTTAGATTTCAATGGTAACAGGTACAGTGTAAAAAATATCAGTATGTAATTTTGACTGACACAGACATCTTAGGTGAGCACGGAGTATTTTTTATTTTTAAATCTGCCTTTCAACTCTGTTCTGTGACCAAGTCAACCTGCTATAGATTGAACCATTCAACTCTGTTCTGTGACCAAGTCAACCTGATATAGAGAAAGGTTTAACAAGAGTTTCCTGACAGCATATGCTTCAAAACTGCCAATGACTGCCTTTATTATACCACTTTTGCGGTGTAGGCGGGAGGGTCTTTGAGCCTGAGGATTTACGGCCGCATGGCTAGTGCTGTCACCACAACTGTGCACGTGAGGATTTTATTTTGCCCCCTACAGAAAAAAAATCCCCAGCTTTACTGAGGATTTGAACCCGGATCTTCCGCTTGAGAGCCTAGCATTCTAACCGTTCGGCCAGCCGCTTCTCAGCCTATGCTCCACAGGATCATAAACGGCAGAAAATGAAGAAGAAGAAGAAAATAGATTAGCTCTACCTTTCTGGATCTGTGTTGATTCCAATCAGAGGCTTGCTCGTGTTGATAAACTTATTCGCTGCTAGCAGGTAGGTGCCATCCCCACCTGCAGTGAAGACAACATCTGCCCAGTCCACAACACTTTGGTTCAGATCAAACCGGTGGACTATCCTGGTCTCAATATTAGCTTTACTGAGAAAACAACAATTGCAAAGTTAACAGACTTTTAATTCCAATATTATACAAATTTGAACAAAGACACAAAGAATAGACTGCACAATTTACTATTGTCTGGCAAAGTTAACCCAATCTCATCAGGTGCTGATTACAATAACAACTGAATGTAACTTATACTCTTTAATATATATTAATTTTTTAGTTAGTTAATTAATTATTTCATTATTATTATTTCATTATTAATTATTTAGTTAGCAGTGTGTTGGGAAATGAGCAGGTGGATAGACTGGCCAGTTCTGCACCACTTGGTGGTGAACTGAGGTATGACAAGCTGAATGTTGTGAGGGCCCTTTGGGAGCAAGTGAACAGTGCCGAGGAATAGATAGATCATTAGGGTCTGAGGAGAATGGCACTGTGAGGAGTTACAAGGGGATCTGGCCGACGCTCGACACTCAGGGGAAGGGCAAGATAGATATACAATCAGACATTTACTAGTACCATCAGAATTTCAACTCTTCGCTTGCTGCTGAAGATGGGGACAGAGCGCTTATGGAAGTATCCCGAGTGCTGTGATGTTGATTCTTAAATCAACATACAACATTTATTTAGTTAGCTGGGTTATCATCACTGAACTCCGAACATGTCCATAGGTGCTCAGATCCTCCCCTCAGTATAAACCCCAGCATTAAGTGGCTAATAGTACCAGTTCTATGTTGATTAACAAGTCCTCTCATGTGCCTGGTGGGTGACTCGTTTTTTTGCTATGCCGATCTTAACTCCCAAGTCTATCATTCTGGTGAGTGATGTGGATTCATTACTCCCAGTCTTCCACCATTCCCATTTCTTAGAGGGCAGTAATAATATCAGCATGATCCATAGGCTGACTGTCGGTAGTGATAGCGGATCCAGCCAACCTATCAGCTCTTTCATTTGCATCGCCTGTGTGTACCGTAATGAAAATAAAGGTGACTTCATGCACAGTGGACTTCTGTAATGATTCAAGCGATTGCCTTTGCACTGAACCTGCCTGAACCTACCGGATCATTTACCAGTGCTCATGCCAGAACTTACTTATACTAGTACTTATGCCGGTACTTAATTGTACTAGTGCTTATGCAAATACTTAATTATACTAGTACTTAATTATATTAGTATTTATTCTACAAGTACATATTTATACTAGTGCAGTAAAACTTTATTAACCGTCACTCGTTGAACCATTAGTTTCTGATATTTGCCATCATTTTTTTTTTGTAAATGACGCAGAGGAAGAATTAGTTCTCAAGGAAAACCTATAATTAGCCACTCAGAAACAGAAACAATACTACCAAAGTGCATCGACTGGTCTGAAATGCAAGAGGATGCAAATGCAACATAGATCCGACTTCTGCGTTAAGACAGGGAAGATCGGCGCACAGAAAGCTAGGGCCTCGGAGACAGAGAAAGAGATGACAATTTATTTGAAAATAAGGCAGGTTTAGCAAGGGATGGATGGATGGAATATCCAAGGCCATAAATACAAGCATCTATATAGCACATGCCAAGGGTTTCACCCAATGCCTCTTCATAACCTGATGCTGAAAGGCAATACAGGACAAGAGCAGAAAAAGCAGAACACAAATTTATAGTATTACATTTCTGTACATTACTACTCTTATTTTGATCGTTTTGTAAAAATTAAATACAATATGTATTTATTATTCATTTTCATATAACTTTACTTTCATTTTCATCCCAAGCCTGCAGTGAATTCACACTGCTCTAAATATGTATCAAGAGATTTCTGTTATCAATGTATTCTGTTTTTGTCAAGCCTTGGTCTGGACATTGACAGTTAATCAAAGTTTTACTGTACTTATTTTCCCATATTTAATTATTCTAGTATTTATACTAGTACTTACTTATAATTCTTTTTTAATGTTTAGGTGGAAACTACAATTCCGTTGCTCTACATATGTATTAAGAAATTTATGTTAGATGTCACAGCCTTGGTCCGGTTTTACTGTGCTCATGTTTCACCTTTTTTAATTACACTAGTATTTATACCAGTACTTACTTATACTTTTTTCTTTAATGCTTAGATGGAAACAATAAAATTACCCCAACTAATTGCCCAAAACAATGACTTACATAAGTTCTTTTTGTACAATTTCCAAGGCAGCGTAATGGTTTCTGTGACGCTCTAGAAGTCCCAGGTAATCAGAATCTTTGGAATCAAGCTGGTGACAAAGTCAAATACACAAATGAATTATACCTAATTAAAAAGAAAATAATTTAGACAAAATCACAGGACTTTTATAAACAAAACAGGTCTCTTTTTAAATTTCACTTTAATTAAATAGCCATGAGTTCAGTTAAGAACTGATACAACATTACACAAGACTGTCCCATAAGCAGACAGTAAAGGGTTCCAATGCTGTTGGTGCTAGCAGCAGTTTGTTTATATACCCATCTTGCCTTTCCTCTGATCATAGCTTGTCGGCCAGACCCTCTAGACTCTCTGCAGACTAAGCCATATCTCAGAGTAGCTGCAGACAAGAAGCACCTCCTGCATGAAACCCTGGGTAGAGCTAAGGGTCACAGACTGAAAAGAGGAAGGTCTTGGATGGCACAAGCTGAAGACATGTGTGCAGGTTTGATAAATCTTGAGCCAGGAAAGAAGTGGGTCAAGATGTCCGAACAAGTTTCAGAGGTGTGTAGGGTTCCAATCACTTTAGGTCGTGAGTGCAGAGATTGGCCGAAGTGATGTGATTATCTATACAGATGGCTCTGTGTTGTGAGGCAGATGAAGTGCATGGGGGTTCATTGCAAAGCGGATGGATGTCACCTAGTGTAGCAAAGCCTTGCATATGATATCACAACATCTAGTTTGAGAATGGAGGTGGAGGCGGTCTCTGCTGCCTTCAGCTGGCTTGAGAATCAGCTGTACATATGCCATGATTGTAACTGACTCACAGAGCATGTTATGAAAGGTGAGGACAGGCATGCTCCGTGCAAAGTGACAAGCATCACTACAGAGGTCCCTGGATATTTTCACCAGGTTATGCCAGTGTGTTGGGAAATGAGCAGACAGATTGACTGGCCGGCTCAGCACTACTTGGTAGTGAACTGATGTATGACAAGCTAGATATTGTCAGGGCCCTTTGGGAATGAGTGAACAGTGCGGCAGCGCAGATAGATCATTATGGTCTTAGGAGAATGGTGCTGTGGGGAGTTACCAGGGGATCTGGCCGATGCTCAACACTCAGAGGAAGGATGAGAGGGATTTACCATTAGACTGGTTACTGATGCCATTGAAATTAGAACTCTTCGCTTGCTGCTGAAGATGGGGACTGAGCACTTATGGAAGTGTCCCGAGTGCTGTGATGTTGATTCTTAATTCAACATACCCTCTAGACATTCTCTCCACACTATAAATATTTATTTGTATTTCCACATTGTTTACTTCCTTTAAAAGGGCCTTGACCATATCTAGCCTGCCATGCATCAATTCAACACACAGATCAGCCGGTTTATCGGCCTGTTTGTTTCCCACCACACATGGATACCAGAGAAAAGTTCCAAAGGACTTTATTACCGCAAGGCATGAGTGGATCAAAGAAATAAAGAACAAATTAGGATGTGATAACAGCACTTCATAAAATGAACATTTTATGCAAAAAATGTGTGTCACTGAAGATAAAGACTTCAAGCACGTTAAAATAGAGCAAGTTTTGGCAAAACTGTAAACAGTGACCCTAAGGGACACAATCCATTGTTTGTTTGCATTCACATAGTAATGTTCTGCATTATTTAAATGTGCTTCAGATTAGGGTGGAAGTCGCCCTGGCGTTGGCGGCTAGATGCCCCCCTGCGGATCGGAAGGTTGTGGGTTTGCGTCCTGACAGAGCCAAACTTTTTTTTTTTCAAAAAGGAAACCTTGACTCACAGATCGACCCAGCCTTGAGTGGGTACCAGGTGCAGTCCTGGGAAGTAAAGGTGGCCGGTGTGATGCTTACCACATCACCCACCAAGTGCTGATTGGTCTATTAAAATATAGGTCTATCCCTATATTCCCAATAGGTATGGAAAAGGGACCTAACTTTATATTAGGGTTTGGGCTAGCCCCAACTCTAACCACAACCTCAAACAATGTTAAATCGTTAGGAATATTAACTTACAATAGATTGCGCCCCTTAGGGTCGCCGTTTACAGTTTTGTCCCATTTTTTTTTTTTTTTGACATATGGCTTTGTTTGTATCCTGGACAATTGATGAGCTAAACATACTAAACAAGCAAAATAATTTCTTGAGGGCTCAAAAATGTGGTTTTACAGAACAATTCTCAGAATTCTTATGACGGCCATAAAGAGCAACCCAGATGTTTTGAAAAAGGCAAGTGCTCAGATATAACTTTCTTATCACAGACATCAGAAAGATACAGTCACCAGAACAGTCTGGTTAGGGACTTACTAGAGAAACGACTTCGTAACACTGGGTTTTATTCCATACAGCTTGGCCTCTCTTTGGAGAACGGCTAGCCATCTGCTGAGAGTGTCAAACTAAACATGAACATAGCTCCAGTGACGATCCCCAGGGATCTCCATAAAAAATGCGCTCATGAACTGAGCGGTACAGCCGTGAAATTAGCCCACAACCTTATGCCTTATATATAGCGTAAGGCAAACTAAACGGTTTAGACCACTCTGCCATATTGATACATAGTGACCACTTCCACACAGTGATACATACACAAAATACTGTCACTATCTATATGTGCATGTAAATACATATTTTTCATTAATACTCACGTATTCTCTAAACTCTGTGTCAGACATTCCATGACAGATCTTTCTCTCATACTCATATCTTGTCATTTTTGTTAGTATCACAGCATGTTTTGGCTGAAATACAGGAACTTTATCTTCTTTCAGCTTCAGATCCATCCTTCTTAGCTTGTCCGTCTGTGATGTTTTATTTGCCACATCCAAACCATAATTGCAGTGGTATCTTACTATTCTTTCCGAGCATGTAGGGCCAAAATAAGGTTTCACTGGGCCATTAATTAATTTAATAATCTGCCAGCAATGGCGATTTAACAGATTTGTTACAGTCTGGCGTAAGCCATTTTTTAAGTGAAAGACCTTATGAGCTGTTGTGTTCTGCATGGTGAATTATTTATACAATAAATTACTTATCAGCGAACTCACATCATACGGCGATGTTTTTTTTTTTCCCCGATCTTTATAGTCCCAGTAAATAAAGCGAGGTGATTGGTGAAATCAGCAGCCTGGTACGGATATCAAATTTATGTTTATTGTCTTCGTGGTAAATCAAATTACTGTAAATTAAAAAAAAAAATTAATTACATTTTCATTTCTTAAAAAAATGAAGGCAAATTTGAAAATAAACAAAAAACGCAACAAATAATTTTTTTAATCACTTCTGCGCCCAAGAAAGACGGTCTTCTCTATTCAGACTGTAGTCTCTTTCTAAAAGTTCAAATAAAGGAATTAAATTTGTTATACACAGACTTTATCCACACAATCGGCGACCGATGTTTAGCAATTTCAAACGAAACGCCATTTTGTCCCAACTTTTCTGCAACAAGTGCCCATAGAAAACTGTGCGATTTATCTTCACATTTTTCCAATTGTTTCACTAAAATCAGATATTTCACAAGCTATAATTTGTCTGAAATATATCCCACGTACTATAATCAGTTATACTAGTTTTACTTGAAGATCAAACATACAAACAATATTACGAAACTACAAAACCTGTTATCTCTGTCTAGAACGGCCACGACAGCTGTAGAGGCCTGCCGACCATGTCGTCGGTGTTGGATTGTCTGCTTCTGTCGTAGTTCCTTCTGTTTTTGTTTGTTTCTGAGCTTTATTTAGTGACACATCTAAAATGTTGCCTCTACACAGCGGTGATAAATATCGCCCGACTTCGAAAATAAAAGAGAAAGTCCTTGGTATGATAAGGTAATACCATAATTAATAATTTCAATTACGATTGACTCTGATTGGATTTGGTGCTGGTTAGTGTAGTTTAAATTCAAATAAATACTTAGTTTTATTTTTTTTATTGCATTTAAGTTTTTTTCCCTTTAAGATTTGTATTCCTTCTCATCTTCTGTAGGATTAATATCTAAAGGATGAGCTCAGAATCAAACAGGTTCAAATCCTGAAAACCCCGTTTAACTGTAAAGCAGTACAGTATTTAATTAATATATTTTGGTCCACACCCTCATGCATTCATGCAAGACCAGCTCACGTTAAGAAAAGACTTTCACAGTTAGATCATGGGATGTCAGAACCATTGTTGCCATAATATGAATTTGTACATGCTTCTGCATAATACTGTATATTACACCCATGTTCACCCTCGGTTTCGCTGTTTTCATGTTCTTATTATTCTAGGACACTATAGCTTCCCATTCTGTTAGTGCCCTCTCTGCTTTTGTTGATAGTATAGCATCAAGGCCACTGTGGGGGAGAATTCTTCTCTATTTGATATGATTACTATATGTCCTGAGAACAGAATAGTTTCCCCTGAATTTAGAATACTTTTCCCCACCTAGCTTCACATAATCCTAAATTATTAATCCTATAATAATTAATAATAGCAAGTATCTATAGTGTTTCATTTCCTTTAATACCTCCATTGTACTTCCTACATCGTACAAATTTCTTACATTTCCAGGTGCCACTTCTCAGACTTCTGGAGATTTTCCTAGGTGAAAGAAGTTACATCGACCATCCAAGATTCCTTTCAGCTTTCTCTGCATCATGTCTTACCTCTTCTACTAGAAGAGCTTTCCCTCATCTTGGTTGGATTGGTTTTTTTGTTTCTCTTGTTTGTTTGTTTTTTACTTTTCCATGGTTGGTTTTTTTTTATGGCTATTTTTTTTTTCTTCACAACCATTAGTCACCTCTTACTATATGCCCTCCCATATGCTAAGCTCTTAACTATCTGCAATCATTTTCCCCTTTAACCCTATTCCCTTTCTGACCCTCCCCCCCCTCCCCCACCAAGCGTGTCCATGGTTTCTTGTTCCCATTAATCCACTCAGTATGTTTATCATTCATGCCCCACTTGCACACATCTTTATATTGTAATAGAGGCCGATCTCAACATCTTCAACCCATTTGTAATTCAACATAGAAACCCCCCTCCCCCTCTGGAAGTTTGAAAGTGGTATAGACCATAATGATGTCTGATAAGTGGTAAAGGCCATAATGATGTCTGATAAGTTGTATAGACCATAATGATGTCTGATAAGTTGTATAGACCATAATGATGTCTGATAAGTGGTATAGACCATAATGATGTCTGATAAGTGGTATAGACCATAATGATGTCTGATAAGTGGTATAGACCATAATGATGTCTGATAAGTGGTATAGACCATAATGTTGTCTGATAAGTTGTAAAGACCATAATGTTGTCTGATAAGTTGTATAGACCATAATGTTGTCTGATAAGTGGTATAGACCATAATGTTGTCTGATAAGTGGTATAGACTATAATGATGTCTGATAAGTGGTATAGACCATAATGATGTCTGATAAGTGGTATAGACTATAATGATGTCTGATAAGTGGTATAGACCATAATGTTGTCTGATAAGTGGTATAGACTATAATGTTGTCTGATAAGTGGTATAGACCATAATGTTGTCTGATAAGTGGTATAGACCATAATGTTGTCTGATAAGTGGTATAGACCATAATGTTGTCTGATAAGTGGTATAGACCATAATGTTGTCTGATAAGTGGTATAGACCATAATGATGTCTGATAAGTGGTATAGACCATAATGTTGTCTGATAAGTGGTATAGACTATAATGATGTCTGATAAGTGGTATAGACCATAATGTTGTCTGATAAGTTGTAAAGACCATAATGATTTCTGATAAGTGGTAAAGGCCATAATGATGTCTGATAAGTGGTATAGACCATAATGTTGTCTGATGACACAAATAGTTAAGTAAGTTGCAAGTACAATTCACATCTATGGGAAGTATTTATTGTGTGTATGTATGTATATAAAAAGGGGAAGACCATGCAACAAATGAAACTACTGCCTCAAGAACGGCCTTAATGAAGATCAACTGATACAATCCATTAGAACAGTGGCTCTCAACCTTCCTAATGCGGCAACCCTTTAAAACAGTTCATGTTGTGGCGACCCCACCCCCATGCAAATATTTTTGTTGCTACTTCATAACTTCAGTGAATATGCATTTTACGATGGTCTTTGGTGACCCCTGTGAAAGGGTCATTGGACCCACAAAAGGGTTGTTACCCACAGGTTGAAAACCACTGCATTAGATGCAGCACACCGAAGATACTTAATCTCACAACCCAGCCCAACACTTCGATGAAGTAACTAGAGGAATAGAAGAAGAAGTATCGTAAATCATTTCCATCATTCATTGACTTTTATGTGGTCTGCTACTAATCCTCCTGCAGTTGACTTCTTCTTCACCAGCTGTAAACTCTGGCAGAACATTCTGGTTGTTTGTCCACTTCTGGATTTTATTTAGTCTTATTCCAGAATTTGAGTTTTGCATGCACATCAATTTTTTATAAATCTGGCTTATTTGTGAGCAGACAGTTGGATTCTCGCCTCTTAGGCAGATCAGATGCGCTCCAGTTTTACAAGAAAACCCCTCATTAGTGGTCTTTAATGACATGCTTATTAGGATCTGTGGGTCTGTTCTTTCTGTTCACAGTGAACTTTGAACTCTGGTATGTCGCGGCTGTAAAGCTTTTCACAGTCCCTAACTTACAGTTGCTGACTTGACATAACAAACTGTTAAAAACAGATTACTGTCAAGTGCCAATCACTGCCTTTATTATACCATTTTTGCGGGGAGGGGGGGGTCTTTGAACCGGAGGATTTACGGCCGTATAGCTAGTGCAGTCGCCATGACTTTGCTGGTGAGGATTTTATTTTGCGCCCGACAGAAAAAATCCCTAGCCTTAACAGAGGATTCGAATCCGGGTCTCCTGCTTGAGATCCCATCGTTCCAACCGTTAGGTCAGCTGCTCCTCAAACCTATTTCTTTTTCTTTTAAAATGATCAAATTACCCACGCTGAAAGATTCTAAATTACTTTTTTGAATCATTATTTAAATTATAAATGCTGAATCATTCCAGGTTACTTTTGTGATTTAATTACATACACTTGATTAAATGCCCTGCCATGTATGTGTGTGTGTGTATCTATATATCCTGTTTCTCTCCACCTCCAGGTTAATATTTTCAGAAAAAACATCTCGTCGCTTGTTGGGATTCCTCATTTTAAATCTTTCGTTTGCCTTTGTGGAACTGCTGTACGGAATATGGACAAACAGTCTAGGTCTCATCTCGGATTCTTTCCACATGTTTTTTGACTGCACTGCCTTGCTGGCCGGCCTGGTTGCGTCTGTGATTTCTAGATGGCGTGCGACTGAAACATTCTCTTACGGGTGAGTTGTAAAGTTAATTGCATATTTTGTTTGTTTTTTTAAACAGGATGCTGCAGATCACCCGTAGCATCGGTTGGCTGACTGTGGTTTATCAGGTCACACCAAAATTTACATCTTCTTCTTCGCATTCACTGGCTGTAAACTCTGGAGGAAAGTTATGGTTGTTTATCCACATCTGGACTTTTTAGATGCTCTCAGTTGCAGTAGCAGGCTACATGTGATATATTTCAAGATGTTAAGCAATCTCAGGGTTGGAGCTTGGAATTGAAACAGTGGGTGAATATAAAATTCCTGACTGGATGACAGATTGACAGGTCAGATATCACCGACAAGTATCAGAGGAGCTGAAAGACTCTTTAAGTTTAGAAAGGGGGGGGGGGGAGAAAAGTCACATTACAGGATGCGATATCAAAGCTTAAAAGGAACATATTTGGTCTTAGAATGATATAGTCGCTTAGAACGATATACTCGACTGGACCCTTCATGGAAATGCCTTTAGTAGAGACCTCGTCAAGAAAACAGAATGGGCTATTTTAGGTCTCACAGGAGCTAAGTGAGTGGACCTACAGTTGTGGCGACCCCACCTAGCTGAATACAGAAGAGTATTATGTGGAGGACTGTCTCCAGGTTGTTTCTTTTCATTGCAATATGTGTTTCTTCTTCTTCTCTTCCACCTTGTACCTCATCGAAGTGTCGGGGGGAGATGTAATGTTCGTTGATGAGCTCTGTCAAGAGCACTATTAAGACTGATGTTCATTTCTGTAAGTCTGTTCTTAATGCCATCACTCCATATTTTCCGAGGTCTTCCACTAACTCTATACCCATTGAAACGTTTTAGTATGGCTCGCTGTGGCAGATAGTACCAGGGTAGTCTTGTTAGGTGTCCAAACCACTTCATTTGTTGTTCTTTGATGACCTGTAAGACTGGCTTTATTCCTAGCATTTGTCTGATTTCATGATTTCGTATTCTGTCTTTCCTTGAAACTCCTGCAGCTCTTCTAAGGCATTTCATCTCTGTTGTCACAATTTTACGTTCATTGGAGGATGTAAGTGTCCACGTTTGGCATTGATAGCATAGTGTTGGCCAAAAAATAGTTCTGATAAGATTCACTTTAGTACTCCGAGGTATCTGCTTGTGTGTCAACAGGGGAGATAGTTGACCCATTACTTGATTAGCTTTGGCACATCTGGAGCTAATTTCTCAATATGTGTTTCAAGTTGTTATAATCCTAGCATCAGCCACTATCTTACTCATTGATCAATCTCTAATATCAGCTCAGTAATTTTAACTCATTGTTAACCTCATCAGTTAACCAACACAGCAACTGAGTTGTTTAAACATGATTTATTTATTTATTAAATATGATATTTTATGCTTAGTAAATACATTCAGTATTTATTATGACTTCACATGGTGAAGTGAAAGTTTGAAAGCAGAACAGACAGGTTAAGGCACCTACTGGAGCTCATTTATTCTAACAGGAGGAGAAGTGTTGGGGAAGGCAACCTGCAGTGTAAAATGTGATCATCATACAATTTTTTCTAGATCTCTGGTCTTTTTTCCTTCACCTGTGGATATTCAGGCAGCTTATTCTGTTTCATGAGCCATATTTAGGCTTTACCTGTTTATCCGAAGTCTCTACTTACCTTTATATTCAAAGGGCAGTTGTCTTGGTTTCATAACTGGATCTGGAGTGTAGGGGATTTGAACCCACATCTACAAAAAAACACTTATATGAGAACATCTCACAACACCGATTGATGCTAAGAAAAAGATGATATACATATGTTTGTAATTTTCTTGATGATTGATTCTTATTTATTTTGTATGAATACTGAAGCATGAAGCCAACACTCTTCACCTTTGCAAAACCCCATTTTGTCACAGAACAGATATTGAAGCCTGGAGAAAACTGGAGACATCGTGACGGTGGGAAAGTTGGTGAAGCAGAGGGAGACCGAGAGAGGAGATGCTGGGCAGTTTTGACATCATGGTATGGAAGATCATCTGTGTCAGAATTGATTGAAAGTAAACGACACGAATGTTGGGGATAGACATGACCACCAACACCACATGGTTGGACGATAATGGACAATGGTTGAAGCATATAGAGAGAATGGCAGATAACAGAGATGGCAAACACAAAAGAGTTTTATGGGAATAGACCACGAGGCAGACCAAGAAGAGCGTTTAGAGATATTGTACAGGCAGACCTACAAAGACAGCAAGTGAAATGGTTTGCCCACTTAGAGAGAATGCCTTGTGACACCATACCATTCAAAGCATACATGAAAAGAGAAGAAGGACGTAGAGCATGGGGTGGACCAAGAACAAGATGGAAGGATAACATCAGAGAAACTCTACAACAGCACGATGTGCCTATGGTCGAGGCAGCCAGAAGAGCTAGAAACAGAACCTTATATCTCCCTGGACACCCACAGCAGTAAAAGAGGAAGTGAAGAGGACCTACAAACACTTGGAGTCACTAAGTATAAAGATATGATCAGTCACAGAGATAAATGGGTGTGGATGATATCTGCAGCAGTTAACTTCAAGTGCTCAGAATGCTGAATAAGAACAAGAGATGTACATACATTTCTCATTGCCATCTTCTTCTTCTGCCTTTCTAGCCCCCAGTGGAGCATAGGCCCTCAGCCAACTCATCCACTTTGTTCTAACCTTTGCTATCGCATGCCATACAGATTTATATTGTTATTTATGAATATGTGTTTTGTTTTGGTTTTTTATTGCTGCTTTGTGAAATGTTTACTTTTTTATGTTCTTTTGCCAGGTATGTCCGTGCTGAAATCTTGGCAGGTTTTGTAAATGGCCTGTTCCTGCTGTTCATTGCATTCTTCATCTTTTCTGAAGCTGTTGAGGTACGCTTCTTCTTTTACTGATACAAATATATGTATATTTTCAATGTTAAAGTCAAAAAGGATTGGTTTCATTGCATATCCCATGTGTAGCTCGGTCTTTCTCTACAGAGTATGTCAACCTTAACAGGACCGGCCCATATAAGGACATACCAACAGAAGAGGACGGGCACTCAACAAAACCATAAATTAGGATGAGATCTCAAGGATAGAAGACCGGACAAAGTACCTCTGGAAGAAAACCACCTTAGGGGATATCAGGAGGACCACCACAATTACACATTACACATTCACACCCAAAGGACAGGAAAATAGACGGGGAACCCTCATTCATTCACCTGACCACAATAGAGGACCTAGACGCGCTCAGAGTGATAGCATCACACAGTTGGACACAGAAAGCCACAACTCTTGGCACAACAAACAATTTAAACCGGTAAACTTGGTGCCCAAAAAAAAAAACAGACTTACCCGAGTGGTTTCCTGGGCTCCATTTTGGAGAACAAAGACCCACCCCTCCTACAAGCCTGTCTTAGAAGGAGACTAATTAGAGGTGTTTCCTACAGTCAGATTGCATCTGCCTGAGAGGTAAGGAATCAACAGCCTGCATACAAAGAAGCCACATTTGTAAAATGGATATGCATGCAAAATTCACATGTTCTTTAATCAAGACTAAAGTCTAGGAATGGATGAACAACCAGAACTTTCCACCAGTTTGCAGCCAGTAAATGCTAAGAAAAATGTACCAACCTGCCTTTTCATATTATTCTTTCTTTTTATTTTTTAAAGTGGGTGTTTGGGTCTGGTAGTCTTAGTTTCAGCTTCATAGCAAACGGGTCACCCCATCTTTGCTCCGCTCCTGTGCCAACGAAAAACACACAGAATGTTTATCACAGTATTAGAATTCCAGTTCATCATTGATGGTAGCAGAAGTCGCCAACAGATCAGCAGTTGCCCACGCGATCAATTTTAATCACATACGGGCACCAAAACACTGCACGACAGGCATCGCGCCATTTTCTGAATCTACAATTCACACCAACACGTTGGTCAAAGTCGAAAAAACATTCCAAATGCAATCCGCATTGCAGGGTCACGCAGGGTCACGCGATGCATTCAACTCAGAAGCTTGGCGACGAAACTATATCCAGTCTACAAATAGAGCAAAAATGCATCGGCCACCGTCCGGCAGAAGCAAAAAATTTGCCTCTGTTTCGAACAGTGCCGCTGCCTAACGTCCATTTTGACAGGAAGTCAACTATATTGGGTGTTTAGGTATCTCCACCATGGGCAATCCCAAACCCGGATGAGAAAGGAGGAGGGTTGGGCATGGGGCCAGTTCCCCCACCCTGTAAAAACATTATTTGCTATAGAAACTTCCAGGAACTGATTGTACAGGTAGAAAGAAATTGAGAAACTGCGAGCCTGTGTGATATATAATGGTACAAAAGTATAATGAATATGGGGGGGGGGGGGGGGGGAATTCTGAGAAGTAATGGCAACCGGTGGGATTTTAACCACATCACCCATCAAGTGGCCTTTAGTCTATTAAAAAATTAGTCTATAAAAATGTGGGTCTTACACCATATGCCAGAATGCACTGTTGGTTTGGAAGAAGTTTTGTTTTTTCTTTGCTTTAACCTATGTGATTATAGCTATGGTGTAACTCTAGTGTTTGAATGCATTTTTACCTTTCAGCGAGCTGTAGAACCACCAGAAGTGAAACACGAGAGGCTGTTTGTGGTTTCGGTTCTAGGGTTTCTCGTCAACCTTGTGGGAATCTTTGCTTTCCAGCATGGACACTCACACGGAGGTGGAGGTACTATAATTTGTGTTTTTTCCCCAAGATTTATGAACTTTCATATTCTTTTGATTGTTGGTTTGAATGTTTTAGTTTCCAGAATATCTTTAGCACTGCCTTGAAATGTATGATTTTTGTTGTTGTTATTTTAAGGTGCATTTCTTTCTAGGATGAGCGGCTAGAATGCTGTGCTCTCAAGGGGGAAGATGCGAGCTTGATGCCTTGATAATATGGGCTGAGTGGTCTTGATGTATGACGTCCACCTCCAGTGCTGGAGGCCCAGGTGAAGGCTGGGATTTTCTCATGAGGACTTTTAGTAATTTCCCATGGTCTCTGGGTAGTAAGACCGGATCCCTGTGTGTTTTTTTTTTTGCGCATGTTGAAAAAAGAGTAGTGGCCTAACTGCGCTGCCCGAAAAATGTGTAGGTGAAAATCTACCAAAATGTGTTTCTGGGTCCTCACCGGTGCAACAGAGTTTGTGCGCTGCGCTGAGATTCTTTAGACTCATGCTTGAGTTAAAAGTAGAACGGAGCATTTATGGGTTAAACCTGTGTGCTATGGTTTTGATCTGTTGAATAAACCTAAACATTTTCCGTTGGGGACAAAAACATTCTTACCTGAGTTACTGCAGTAGGCATGCAGCCCTAAATCTTCAGGTTTAAGATCCCCAGATCATCCCTCTGGTCTACACTGCCCTAAAAAGAAGTCTATACAGTCAGTTATTTTTTATTTGCCATATAGGTTCAGTGATAATAAAACGTTTTGCTTCACTGTATACAAGTGAGATAAGCACCCATGTGCTGGATATGGTGGTACCTTTTGTGAGCTTAAAACCAAAGCATCAGGCATTGATTCGGCATTAGTGATCTAGTGGTTCTTATGACATTCCAGTTTGTCAGAATGCTTTCCTGTTATAAATCTAAACACAAACAATATTTTCTTCTTCTTCTTCACGTTCACTGGCTGTAAATTCTGGTGGAAAGTTCTATTGTTTGTCCACTTCTGGGCTGCAGTCCTGTTTCAGAACCTGAGTTTTGCGTATGCATCCATTTGACAGATCTGACTCATTTGTGTACAGACTGTTGGTTCCTTGCCTCTCAGGCAGATGCACTCCGTCTTTGAAGGAAGCCAACAATTAGTCGACCTTTATGACATGCTTTTATGTAGACAGTGGGTGTATTCTTGTTTCTCCCTATAACAGGGCCCTGAAACCCACACAGAGAACAAACAATATATTGTGCGGTTTATTGCATGACCTACTTTTTTTTTTCCTACTTCTGTTTAGCGTTCACACCTGCTGTAATCTCCGAGGGAAAATTCTTGTTCTTTATCCACTTCTGGACTTTGGTTCTATTCCAGAACTTGAGTTTTGTGTGCACATCTGTTTCATGGATCTGTTTGCTCCTTGCCTCTCAGTCAGATGCATACCCACTTTGAAGGAAACATCCTTGTACAACATACTTGTTATAGGGCAGAGGGTCTGTTCCTTTTTGCCTTGAAACCCCTGTGGGGGGGCGTAGCTTATTTCACAAGATTATTTTTATGCTCTTTGTGTTGATGTAAATTTGTCAGTGATGTGTTTTATATGAGCAGTAAATTATGTGATGGATAAATTTAATGTGTGAGGCTTTGGATACCATCATTGATATAGTGCATACTAAGGCTAACACTAGGCTCTTCAAAAGCAGAACAGGGCCTAGGAAGAAGAAAAAGAATTTTTTTTTTTTTTTTAATGATACTGTTAATATCCCCGGTTAAGTTCCAGCTTTCTAAATGTGCGCATTTATCTGCATTTTTCCCTTCAGTTAAATTAGTTTAATTCCACATTTCTAAGGCTCCTTTTAATTTTTCAGTTGCTCACTTCTGCTTCTGTGCCATTCACTCATGAAAAAAGTATCTGTAAAATATGTAGTTTGTAAATATGAAATCTTGTATCATAGTGTTTATCATCTTTAATGCACTGCTACTGAGAATGAAATTATTTAGTCATGTGGTAAGAATGCTTTTCATCATTTGTCCTACTGCTTGTGTCGTAAAGTGCCACAGAGAGAAGTCCTGTCTTTTGTTAAGCATGTAGCCAGACCAAACTAAATATGAGCCCTTCTGCAGGAGAACACTTGGGCGGAAAGCGAGAGGAGATCAGAGATGAAACAGCAAATGTTGAATTAAGAATCAACATCATAGCACTCGGGACATTCCCATTTCCCACAACCACTCGGTCCCTTCTTCAGCAGCAATCAAAGAGTTCCGATGGTACCAGTAAATGATTGTACATCCGTCTCGCTTTTTCTTTGAGTGTTGAGCTTTGGCCAGATCCCTTTGTGACTCCCCACAGCACTATTCACCTCAGACCGCAATCATCTATTTGAGACCCTTAACAGCAAAAGAAGAAGAAGTCAGTATTTCATGTGAAATTACTTTTAATTTTATGAGAGACATTCTTATATTTGTTTCTGTTCTTTCGTGATCAGATCTTGGTCATTCACATGGATTTGGTGGCCATGGACACAGTCAAGGTTTAGGTGAGTCAGTAATACAGTTGGTATCAAGCAAAGTGTTAGTTTTTACATAGTTGACAGTTCATTGAACAGTTAATCATTCAGTCCATAAGTGCTTAGTTTCCGTCTTCAATAAATCCAGCAGACTGTAGTGCCTGGTGACACCAGTTCTCTTCTGGTTTAATATTCTTCTTTGGCTTCCTGTCTGGCCTCACCTCTTTTCCATTGCTGCTTTTGTAGTCTGTTCATAATTGCATATTCACAGTCATTACTTTATTCTTGCAAATGTCTTACTTCTTGTAGAGCAAGGCTATTCAGCTGTGACCAGCAAGCTAAAATTGGGCCACAGAGGCCTAACAGCTGGCCCTCAGATCATTGGCAGTTGTTTCAGTGATCTTTCCTGGAGCTCCGACCTCTGGCCCATGACAGTCCCCATTGTCAACATTTTGGTCCCTGGGTAAACTTGATTGACTAGCCCTGTTGTAGAGCATTCAGTATATCAATGTGGTCCTAGCAGACAGTAATTGCTTACATTCCTTGTTTGCGAGGTGGCTGCATGGTCTCAAGGCATGGTGTCCACCTCGAGTGCTGGAGGTTCCGGGTCCGATCTCCGGAAAGGGCTGGAATTTGTTCACGTGGACTTGGACTTATAGTATTTCCCCTGGTTTCTGGGTAGTGAGATCGAACGCCCATGTTCATTGTTGCGCCCGTAAAAAATCCCTTGGCAGTTGGAAATAGAAAAAAGTCGCCTAACACCGCTGCCCAGGCGAAATGTGGATTTAAAAATCTACCTAAAGTATTTAGGATCCTCGCCGGTGCTACAGAGCCTGTGCACTGTGCTGAGCTTCTTCCGACTCAGGTTTGAGTTAGAAGAAAGGACAGAGCACTTATGGGTTACTACCCGTGTGACATGATGTTGATCCGTTATTAAAACTTCAAATTTCACATTCTTGTTTGCGAGCACAAACATAATATGCAGTTGGTGTTATGGAAACGAGAGATGTTTTATCATCATCAGATTCTGTTGTTCCATTGTACATAAACCTCGCAATTGATTCTTCAATGTTATGTCTTTTTAGTTTTGTTTCAGTATCATGTGTGGAGTCTTGTCCTGCACTTTATACTTTCTGATCAACATTCATTGAAGAGTTTCTCTTGAATGTCCTCACATCCTTAGTCCATTTGTTTTTCCCTTTTGTTTACCTGTTTTATGATAATTTGTCCAAAAACAAGGATAAGTAAAAAAAAAAAAAAAAAGTAAAGTTCCCTTTTCAGGCCTTCGGCGCATCGGGCATATGGGCAGAGCGTCCCATATTTTTACAGACCATCAGCACTCTGTGGGTAATGTGGTCAGCATTCCGCCGGCCGTCTTTACTTTCCCAGGACAGCCCATCCTGGTACCCATTTTAGGCTGGGTCGACCTGCGACGTCCCATACCACGACAAAAATCCACGCAGCCTGCAGTGGGTTAAACAAGGATACTTACATTTAATGCTTAATGAGTTAGCATCTTCTCCCTTGGTTCCCTTTGCCCCTCTCCTCCTGTTATCACAACATACCTCAGTTGTCCCCTTCCCATTACCTGCCAAAAGAATTCTCAAATAGTTAATTGTTTAAAAACTTTTCTCCACTCAGGCTTAGAGGATGAGAAACATGGACATAGCCATGAGGATCATGGACACAGCCATCAGGATCACGGACACAGTCACGGAGATCACGGACACAGTCATGACGATCACGGACACAGTCATGACGATCACGGACATGGACATGCCCATGGGGGACATAAAGAGAAGCCAGCTTCTAACACTGCCAAAATTGCCCAGGCACAAATCATGCAGGGTAAGTCTTCTGTTGGCTGTCAGTTCTAGGTCAGTGGTTCTCAGCCTGTGGGTTGTGACCCCTTTGGGGGGTTGAATGACCCTTTCACATGTGTCGCCTAGGACCATTAGGAAGTACATATTTACTATGTTATGAACTAGCAACAAAAATAATTTTATGGTTTGGGGTCACCACATGTGGAACTGTATTAAAGGGTTGCGCCGTTAGGAAGTTTGAGAACCACTATTCTATGTTCATTGTACAGGGGCACCTCAGTGTATGAATTTAATCTGTCTCGTGACTGCTCGTATGCTGAATAACTCATCATTAGTCAACAAGTCCTTTACAGATAGTCACTATCTTCACGGCACGCCTGAAAGTATCCCTTTCCCTGGCCAGCTGTCTAACTCCATGTGCTTTTGTTTCCAATGCATTTTCAATGTCCTGTCTCCATCTTCACGGAGGTCAACCCCTGCTTCGCCTTCCACAAACTGCACCCTCCAACAATGTCTTTTCCAAGTCACCATGACATTTGATTTGGCCAAAATACTTTTGAGGCAGGATGCTGTTTATGAGCCAGTTCTCCTGGATGTTTAACTCGTGTAGAGTGCCTTGTGTTTTTGCTCCTCTTTATCCATTGTATTCTGATAATGTGTATGTAGCATTTTAATTCAAAAGCTCCAATCTTTGTCTTCAGTGACTGAGTGAGAGTCCAGGACTCACAACCGTAAGTTGCCACGTGAAAAATGCATGATCTCAAGACTTTAACTAATTCACAGGTGCTTTGACATAGGTTCTTCATAAGGTTTAATCTCTGCATTGCTAATGCAAGTCAATCACTCATTTCCTGAAACTATTCTCTTATAAAAATTAATGTATATCATTTTGGTCTTAGTTGACTATATATTTTAATTCATTTCAGGCCTACAAAAATTAAAAGGAAGTTTTTCTTTTTATTAACAGGAAATTTGTGGCACTACTTTTTCGGCGCAGGAAAATGGGGTTACTTCCGAACATGATGCTACAGTTTATCATCATTAAGTGCTTTTCAACTGGCTGAAGTCCTCCTTTGGCAACGTTAACGTGACCTAATCCATTTAAAAAGTGTCGCCTTGTATTCTAGGGCAAAAACTGGCAAGCCTGGCCTTGTATCCTATCACCTCTTCAGTGGTAAAAAAAAAATGGATAACATAACGTTGCTGCTGTTAAGTGGAGTTGTCATCTTTCAACTGTCATTATGACGTGACTGTGTTCGCCTACACTGTGATGTCAAGGGCTTAACATTCTTGACATCTCTAACAACAGTATTGGCAGGTTACAAGACGATAGCTTGGTTATTATACATGCTCTTCTTCTGCATACAAGTAAGCCAGATCGTTAAAATGGATGTCAGTGCAAAATTCAGGTTCTGGAACAAGACTTAATCTCCAGAAGTGGATAAACGAGTCGGCCTTTTGGCTGAGACCAAAGTGTAGCTTTGCTGCACTAATCTGGCCAAAAGAGCCCGGGATCGGTCATAACCAAGTCACAGGAGAAACCCAATTGGCAATGCCATCTTAAACAATCTGCCGGACGGTTTCCCCGCTCAGTCTGGATTACCGACGTAATATCCTTCGGGTAGTCGGGCGGCCAGGTCTGGGCATTTGGGGAGACCGACCCGGACACACACAAAAACAAAAAAAAAAACATACGGGAGGGAAGAATTCAAAAAGGATAACCCTTTCAACAAATGCCAGGAGTTGGATGTGTCGACCAAAAGGCCCAAAAATCACAGCTCTGAAATAAATAGGCACAGCGCAGTTGTACCCCAAAAAAAAAAAAATATTTATTAACATGGAAGAAAAAAAGAAGCATTACAAATAAACAAGAAATGAACTGAAAAAAAGTCTACACATGTGACCCTGAGTCATCATCGCTTGTTCCTTCTTCTGGACTGTAGTCTGCAAATTTGGTTACCCTTGAGAATTAAGGAATCTCATCCTAAATTACAAATGCACAGGGCAAATCCTAAATACCTATTCAGCCGCTACAGAAATTATAATTGTGGTACCTTAACAGCCACGTAAGCCTGGTTTTCCTGCATTCATTTAACTTTTTTAGTCCTGAACAACACACCACGAATGACTGGATTTCCTCATGTTCACCATTTAACATATTATTGTGCTTGTACATTTTAATGTTTAGTCGGGGCGTGCTAAAACACTCAGCAACACATTTGTCTTCCATAAGGGGGTGTGTGTTTAGGCCCCGTGGATGTAGTATACCAATTATTTTGTTGATGTCACGGTTGACTCACAGGGATCATCAACTATGACCTTTTGGGGTCGAAAAGTTCAGAGTAGGAGAAATGATACTGAGGACAAAGTGCAAATAATAATAGTGTTCATTGAATGCACCAAACCTTTTTACTACAGTGCAAACCTGATAAGGAGAAATCGGCAGGGACCCAAGAAATAGTTATTCTTACGAGAAATTCCTCCTGCACAGTACAAAGAAATATAAGAAAAATTTCTGCACAGTGCAACGAAAAATAAGAAAAATTGCCAGGGATAACACAAATTGTTCTCATGACAGAAATATGCCACAGCGAGATCATTCGATCTACACTGTATAAGTGACGCTGGATATCCAAAGACATAATCACTACATTCAGCATGACTTAGAAGTTTATTCCTCTGCTTTGTTTTCAGGTGTTTTTCTCCACATTCTAGCCGACACCCTAGGTAGTGTTGGGGTGATCATCTCTTCAATTCTCATTTATCAGTTTGGCTGGATGATTGCTGATCCTGTATGCTCAATGTTTATAGCCACCCTCATTGCTATTAGGTGAGTATTTGAAATCGTAACAGCAGCTAATTTTGTTTTTAGTACTATTTCTGGATATGTGGATACAGGACTTTGAAGATGAATTGTCAGTGAAACAAACAGGGCTGGAGGATTGGCCAGAGAATGAGTTTCAGGTGTGCAGTGAAGAGAGCACGTTCTGTAAAGGACATGATCATTGACTGACTATTTCTGTACCCTTTCACCCCTGTAAATGTCAGTATCTTAAAATAACATGTTGCCTTAGGGCAGGGTCACCATGATGATTGCAACAACAAAATGTTAGTATTGTTTAGGCTGAAAAGGAATTGATTTTTGGGAGGCATTTTTACGTCATTCTTGTGCCATAAAACACAAACTTATGGTGGCGTCAGAGTCAGACGGGGTTAACAGAACCATATATTTCTTGGTCAAAAAGGTGATATATATATATATATGTGTGTGTGTATTATATATATATGTAAGATTACATCCATTACTTGACTGCAGATTTTTTTTAGTTTGTAAACGACAGATTATATTTTGTATTTATTTCCTTAAAACTGCTGCGTTGATACCACTGGAAGCAGGCTTGCCACTCTGTTCAGTGGTCATCAGTTACAACCCCGTGGGGGGTTATAAAAACTGACCAACTCCAAATTTCGTCTGTTTCTTGTTCTTTTCCTCTAGTTCAAGACTATTAAGCTAAGTTTATTCCATAGCATAGACAGATCATTAATACACTACAGATGGCAATGATCCACTGGCTACTTGCAAGGCCTCCGCAGGCTAGATCTGGTCCGCGGGCCTCCGATAGAATAGCCTTGCTCAAGTTTCTTAGAATTGTGTGGATGCGTCATCTTTTTTTTTAAATATGAATTTTGAAAAAATAATGTAAGATTCCTATGGGCTAAAAGGATTAAGGGGGCGCATTGAGGAGGATACTAGCCTTATCCTAAGAAGAGAAAATGCAACCTGAATATTTATTATTATGGCAGGCATACCAGGCCCTTGGCCTTGGTTGGCAGCTTTTCAGATCCGGCACATTCTGCAGCATGCATTGTTCCGAAAATTTGGTGTTACCTTTCCTTTGGAGTAAACAAGGCAGGGCAAGGGAGGTATCTGTTGCTAAAAACGAAAAGTTCTGTTGGTGCATAACGTGGGGTATTGCCAGCAACAAAGCCCTGCTACAGTAGTAATTGCGTTGTGCGATATGTGGCCATTATATTTTGGGAGACCTGTGTCAGTACCATTATGTCAATAAGTTGCATGACAAGCTGTGATTTATGATAGAAATTGTGTTCCTGGCCTAAATATTCTTATGTTGTATTTCAGTGTGTTGCCATTGTTACGTGATTCAATTGGAGTCCTCATGCAGCGGACACCAAGAGCATTAGATCACCAACTGCCAGGATGTTATCAGAGGGTATGGGATTGTTTACAGCTTCTTTTGGGTGTGTGCGTGAGAGAGAGTTGGGGGAGGTGTCTCCTTTTTTTTTTTTTAAATGTATTTATTTTTTTTTCATTTTTTTTTTTGTTTCTTGTTCTTCTTCTATAAACATTCTGAAGACTATTTATAAATCAATACAGATGAGAGATATGTGATTAGATGATTTAACATATGTAATGCTGTGTGAATTAGAAATTAAATGTGGATCTAGCAAGAAAGAACATATTAGAGAGAAAGTATGATGTGTGTACAATCAGTGTGCTACTGAAACAGTTAACATCTCTACCTGAAGAGTTTTGCTGCAGGAGCCAGAACATCTGTGGGTTATGGACAGACATGACTACCAGTGCCACACCACATGGTCTGTAAGAAGAAGTTAGTTTAAAAAAAAGTGAAGGTCTTCCACGCCTTTAGGCATATAGGGCTAGGCCTATATTTTTATAGACCAATCGGCACAAGATGGGTGGTGTGGTCAGCTTCACGCCCGCTGCCTTTACTTCCCGGGACTGCACCTGGTACCCACTCAAGGCTGGGTCAACCTGGGAGTCAAGGTCATTTTAAAAAAAGTCCGGCTCCGCCAGGGAGCGAACGCATGACCTTTTCGATCCACGCGCGAGCATCTATTCACGGCAACTTCCTGTAAGAAAAAGAAGGTCTATAAAAGTCTCCTTTCCATTTTTTTTCAACCTTTTGCCATATATCCAATACTGGTAAACTGGTTATCTTAGTTTCAGCTTCAGTACAAATGTGTCGCCCCATAGTTGTTCTGTTTCTGTGCTATCAGAAAACACACAGAATGCCCATCACTGTCTCTTGTGGAAAAATTGACGCAGACTGCAGTCTCAGCATATTCACTAGCATACACATGCATTAAGAGCACAAGGCAGCCAACAGAAGTTCTTACACAAACAGTCCGACATTAGATGCAGTTCATCATCAATAGAAGCAGCAGTAGCAAACAGATGAATAGTTAGCTGCACACGTGATCAGTTTCAATCACATAAGGTACCACCAATACTATGGCAACAGGCCCACGTACCATTTTCCAAATCTACAGTTCACTCACACCAAGTTGGTCGCAGTTTTAAAAAAAAAAATTCCAAATTAATTTTGCAGCTCACAGTGTCATGCCATGCACTCAGCTCAGTAGCTGGATGACAAACCTATATCCTTTCAGTCTGCACAAAGAGGAAATTCAACAGCCACCATCTGTCAGAATCAGAAAATTTGCCATGAAAAAAAAACAGTCACCATGCGTATGGTCCATTTTGACTGAAAACCATATATAGCTATATCTGTATATCCAATACGTTTCAGAATATGTCAGAAATTGGGGGCTTATAAGTTTGTTTCCTCGCTGTCGTCTTATTTTCGCTCTCCCTGCCAGTGGTTTTCAGTTGAGAAGGCCACAGGCCTCTATGAAGTCTGAAACACTTTTTCACACAGCCAGGTTTCTGTTAGAATACCAACTGGCCTAACCTGGGATCTCTCTACTGCTCCCTATCATCATCTTAGTCTTATCTGTATCAGTGATTTTCACTGAACATATCAAAGCGACTGCAAGAACCACATGTCAGACATTATGAACGGATGCAGAAGAGTATACAAATGAGTATATAAATGATTTTCATTGAACATGTTTTCAGAATAGCGAAGGGGGGGGTTTACAGTGTACTCGGACAGCATTTCTGGACATTAGTTTTGGATGTGTATATATGTGCAATATCGCTGAATGTCCATTGAACATGATTTCAGGTTAGTCAGCTGGAAGGAGTCTACAGTGTGCAAGAGCCACATTTCTGGACTTTGTGTACAGATGTGTATGTAGGGACCATCAAGCTGGAGGTGGCGGCAAATGCTGACAGTCGCTACATTCTCAGTCAGACACACAATATATTTACTCAGGTATGTCCGTTTTTTTTTTTTTTAAATTCTAATGGAAGTTGCAGTTTTTTTGGTAGCTAACTTGTTTGCCTGATGGTCATATGTTTGGATTTTCGTTGAGGCAAAGATTTTTAAAATGTATTTGAGTTTCTGTCAAATTCTCAATGGTCATAAGATTAGTATACCAGGAAATGAACAGGCAGACTGGCTGGGTCTGCGCCACTTGGTAGTGAATTGTTGCATGAAAAGCTAGATATTTTTAGGGTTCTATGAGAACAAGCGACAGTCTGAGGAGAAAGTGACTAGTAACTAGGGGATCTGGCCGACGCTCAGCACTCAAGGGAAAGGCAAGATGGATATACAGTCAGACTGTTACTGGTGCTATAGGAATTGGAACACTGCGCTTGCTGCTGAGGTAGGGGCAATGGATTATGGGAAAGTTGCGAGTGCCTTGATTTCTTAATTCAGTATTCTAGTGTATAGCTTTTTTTTTCCACAGCTGTAATTAGTCTTCTACATAGATTGTTACTGCAATATAAAGATTTGTGCAAATGTGGTATGAATGATGCAGGCGTTGAAATGGATTCATGGGAACAAGATGCAAAGAATGTTACATGAAGAGAACAGAATAAGGCAGGAAAACGGACAAAGGAGGAACGAATGCAAACAGATAAAAAAAACGGAACATTCAAGGGAAAAAAATCCAACCTGCAATGATAGTAACGGCCCTGAGAGCCTATTCGCTTACTGCTGAAGACTTTTCTAAATGCGAGCTGGTCTTGCTAATCATGCCGACTAAGACCGTAGGCCGGCATGCCACACACTATAGCACAATGAAATACTGTAATCAAAGATGGTTGCAGTACCAGAATATATTCTACTTCATTTCCTTTGTTTTTAAATGTTGTAATTTATTGATAGCAGAAGTTTTGTTGCCCCCTTTTTGTTTTATGTTGAAAATTAAATGTGCTGTTATCTGCGGAAATTGTAATTTTTTTTTTTTTTTTTTTTTTTTATATATAAATATATATCATACTTGACCCACATGACCACACGATCAAATGTGGGTGAGCCTCAATAAGTTAGTGTTGTGTATTCTTTACAGGACGTTGCAGAACCAACCCCAGCATTTTTTGGCTGTTGTGGTTTTTCTAAGCAAATTTTTATGCTCAGTAGTTTGCCATTTCTTACTGAATGGTCAGCTCTCGGTACCATTGTCGAAACTAATGCAAGATGTTCTGCTTTCAAATCGCCCACAGCTGGAATCAAACCCAGGACCCAGGAATTACGAAGCATGTTCGCAACACCTAAGCCCCCATGGGTGTCTTAATTATAACTTTCTCCAAGGTTGAAAAGGGAACATGGTTGTTTTTTTTTTTTTTTTTTTTTTTTTTTTTTTGGGTCATGTTCGATAGGTGTCCATGATGCGTTGTGTCTTTGACTCTCAGGGGTGTGTAGTCACTCAGGTAAGTAAAGTAAACATCCCTTTTCACACCTATAGGCGCATCGGGCATATGGGAAGAGCACCCATATTTTTACAGACCAATCGGCACTAGGTGGGTAATGTGGTCAGCATTACGCTGGCTGTCTTTACTCTACATACTGGCACCCATTTTAGGCTGGGTCAACCTGCGACGCCCCATACCATGATAAAAATCCACGCAGCCAGCAGTGGGTTTCGATCGCAGTGCGTTGCAATTACAAGTCGGACTCACAACACCTAAGCCACTGACGCTGCAGTCACTCAGATTGTAATCTAATAACCTTTTTTTCCTCTCCTTTTTCAGATTGGAGTCCGACAATTATATGTACAGATAGACCATGCCCCTATGTAGATAAGAAGCTCGTCGCAAGTCCTTGATGGCTGTTCTGATATTTGAAAGCTGAACCTGAAGCATTTAACCTCTTGAAGAAACCGCTCCCTGAACGTTGAGAAATAATTAAACATAAAAGAAATTACGATTATACATCTTAGCAGGGCTGTTAGTGCCGTCAGCTTAAAAACTGCTTTGGCTGCTGAAGATGGATATGGAGCGCATATGGGAATATTCCAGGTGCTCATCTCAGGGGTTCCACTTCCAGGTCATAGTTTATTGTGTGTTTTACTTCTTGAAAGCAGATATTTGCCCTTATTGAGGTCTTCATATTCATGAATGCCAGCTGGAACTTTGTAGAGATTGTAAATTCATTGGTTCCCACATTTTCCCTGGACTGCATTTTCAAGATATGCTCCTGCTATGCCAGGTTTTTTCCCAAAGACAGTTATCTTTTATTTCTAAAAATTGGAACATAAATTGCCTTATCCATTACTGAAGAAATATATGCTGTTTCAGATGTATCAAAATTATTTTGTTTAGTTAAAAAAGAGAGTGGCTTTTATGCTTGTTTTTAAAGCATGTTTTTTTTTTCATGGTTGAATCTTTATGTATGGACAAGATCATTACCCATAGCTGGCCTTGACATCAAGAAAACTCTGGGAACGGCAACTTATATCTCCAAGGCCCTGAAAACCTGGAAAATATTTCAAAAGGGACCAGAATTCTTGAAATGTGCTCTCTTTAAACAGGAAATCTACAGTAAAATGAGAGTTCATTTGAAGCATATGATTTGACTTACTTTCGGCTACCTTTAAAAAAAAGGTTTGTGTATTTGGCCACAAACCCTGCAATGCAAGACAGGATGTGGGCTCAGTCAGTCCATAGTAGAAAGCAAAAAAAAAGGTTACTGAAAGATCTCCTTTCGTGCCATAAGTAAGGACCCATTTCCAACCAGAGCATGTTGGGCATATAGGGCTAGGCCTATACTTTATAAATCAGTCGGCACTCGGGGGGTGATGTGGTCAACATCATCATGCCATAAGGCATGCTGGGTATACTCTACTGGTCCTGGTTGTTTTTTTGTTTTTGAAGACAATGGATGATGTAATCAGTACCATGCTATCGACCTTTACTTCCCATAATGTTTCCTGGTGCCTATTTACTCAGTAGGCCATGATGCTAGGAGAAGGTAATCCCAACCTGAGTGGATTGGATAATGACCAGCAGACAATCATGTTAGCCACTCTGTAACTGTGGCTTCTCTTCATAATGTGGCCAGGTACACTTTTCTGCACATTACCAGTCTCAGGTCAAAGGTCACACCTGTTAAACAGTGTAATATTGATCATTTTACTGGCTAGTTTGCAATCTCCTGGAGAGGAAAGGCCACTAACTAGCTGACTTTAGTATTTGACACTCTGTTTTTTTTTTTTTTGGAATGCTGTCTGGCATGTTATTGCCAGATTTCAGTACTTTCCTGTCCTTTTTGTAGATTAAATGTACATATTTAGTAGGGTTAAAAATCACATTATGGTCTAGTCAGGTATTTTTTATTTGTTAATTTGTTGTCATCTTAGCTTCTGTAATTATTTCTAGTTTCCATTGCAGTCTTCCTCTCTGCTCATCTTATTTGTTTGTTTTCCTCCTTTGATTTGTGTTGCACTCTGTGCAGTGAGTTTGTATATTTGAATATCGTGGAAAGATAACAAGCCAAACAAAAAAGTAGAGCCAGTCGGCTGCTTCACATTATCACAGACACAACAAACAAATGAACGTTTCGGCTAAAAAGTTTTTTTCAGCACATGACATCAGTCTTACAGTACGAACAAGAATGCACAAAATCACTTAACTGATTATCTCTGATAGAAATCACATTTTTGTCCATCCAGTAGAGAATCTGCATATTTGAAAGTATTGTCAGGAAGTATGCCTCAAATATGTTTGAAGTTTAACAACGGACCAACATCATGGCACATGGGTAGTAACCCATAAGTGCTCCGTTCTTCTTCTTCTAACTCAAATCTGAGTCTGAAAAAGCTCAGCACGGTGCACAGGCTCTGTAGCACCGGCAGGGATCCTGAAATACTTTTGAAAACATCAAGTCCACTGTGTGTGACTGTAAGAGACAGAGGGATCTGATCACTTAGCAGCAGCTGGTGAACTAAGAGCATACAGTATTATAGACTTCCATAATAAGTTTTTTGTGATAATAATGTGGTGGTTTCCTCTTGCTTTCCACATTTGTATGGCTTTAGACTATGTCCTCAGCCTTTGACAACCTTTTGGATTGCCAGGGCAATTGAGTGCCCTGCCTGCTAATTTATACTCCTGCTAACAGTAGAAGGTACTCCCTGAGGTGTCCACTTATCCCGGTGGATACTCGGTCCCCTTAACTGCGTTGGCCACACTGCAGTGTCTTGAGACCAGAATGGCATTTCCCAGAATTCTCCAGTACTAACAGAGGACTATGATGATGATGATGGTGATCAGGAAACAGTTTTGTCCATCAGAAAGTACTCCTGGTGGAGACATGCTCGTAGTACGTAAGCCTCACATTTGAGAACAAGGACATGTTCCCATTCTGATGGCATCTCCCAGTTAGTGTCACTGGCTATGTCCTACTTGCTGTGTAGTTGCTCTTTACCACATCCCTCTCAGTTGTCCTCAGTTTCCCACTTATAATATGAAATCTGTTGCCCTAATTAACTTAAGGATTTAACCATGACATTGTGGATTCTGATTCTCCTTTTTGTTCAAGAATTTTTTCATAATCATTATAATCACCATATTATGTGTTTATCTGTCACATGGATCTTGCAGTCTATTCCTTCGTTGTGTCCTATGTTGTACAGGCATTTTGTTATCGTGGTTGGAACCCAGTCCAGCACCTTTGGCCTCTGTCTTTAGCGTTCTTTGCAGGGTTTCTCTTGCACATCATTTCCTTAATTTGTCTGTTTCCTCTGTCAGTGCCAGTTAAATTCAGATCTTTGGAAGATATTTTTTTTTTAATTTAACGTAACATCTGTACTAGAATATTGTACTTAAAGCTGATGCAACTGTAAGTTATCTAGTTGAGGCTCTTCGTGGATTCCGCTGACCAAGGTACTCTCTATTTAAATCACTATTGATCACTGACATCATGAGAGCTAAAAGACTGAAATGGTTGGGACGTATTGAAAGAATGTCAAATGACAGAGAAGTAAGGACTGTATACACAAGGGAGTTGAATGGTTGTAGACCGCGAGGCAGACCACGAAGACAAATGAGAGATAACGTCCAGACAGACCTGCAAACACTTGGTGTCACCAACTGGAAAGAAAAGGCTAACCAGAGAGATGAATGGAGGCGGGTGATATCTGCAGCAATGAACCTCAAGAGCTCAGAATGCTGAAGAAGAAGAGAAAGAAGAAGGTACTCTTTGCTCGGTCTAAACTTCAGGTTGCTTCTTTACCTTCAGGGGGGCCCTCACTTGATGACTGAACAGGGCTTACTGGGATTCTTCGACCTTGAGGTGTTAATCCTGCATGCTGCAGTTAAGGAGGGAACCAGCTGTAACTGACCACAGGGTCAATCAGGAAAACCAGATACCTGTTTCTGTGTTATTGGAGAGATGCGCAGGAAATGGCGCTGATTAACCTACCTCTCAGTGCGGAAACTGGTTGTTGCTTTTGCGATTGGTGTTATTGTCACACAGTACCTGCTTGCTGCCGACATTCAGGAAGCTGTTTTTTTTTTCTAACCCGACAGGTCAGTTTGTATTTATTGAAAGAAAAAAGTGTTTAAAATGTGTTTATTTCTATCGGTGCTTGGGCTATTTTTATGGGTTACTTGGAACTATTTTCTTCAGATACATTGACCTTTTAGTGACCATGTTTAGTGACTATTGACAAACATTGACCTTTTAGTGACTATTGCTACTATTTTCAGCACTTACCTTGGCTGCATCATCAGTTATTATTATTATTGCCTGTAAATGGTGTACTCATAATTTAAAAAAATAAAACCACATCTCGACACTTCTGTGTTATTGCAAATATTGCTGCTTATACTTGTAGACATAAGCTTGCTTTCAGTCGAGTGTAAATGTGTCCTTTAGAACAAATGGGTCCTGTCAGGTACATTATGTAGATAATTTAATTTAAATGATATAGTATGGCAAAGAATGTAGGTTGCTTGTTCATTGTTATTATCTGCATTTCTGTTTTTCCGTATATCTTGAAATGGTGGTGGTTGTATCCATATCTTAATAATATATGAGTGAATGTCAATGTGTCGTCAGTGTTGATACGTTGCTAAAACAAGTTTTTATTTCAGACTGCTATAAAGATTGCAGTAAACCAGGTTTCTGTATTACTTGTTTCTTTGTTTGTGTTTCACTTGTGTAGCGGTCTTGATTATGTAACACTTAAATTTATGTCTTTTTAAACGATTGCTGGCATCTGTAGACTGTTGTGCTTGTGGCCTATTGCTATATGGCTGCAATATCTTATTTTTGGCCCAAAACATCTAGATTCCAAATAAGTTGCCTTTTATAACATGATTGTTTGAGGGCAGTAGGTCTGTTATTTTTTTTCTTCCTTTCCTTCTTATTGATGACTGTAGCTGTAAACTCCTGCGGAACATTCTAGTTGTTCAACAGCCACTTTGGTCTTATTCCAGTACTTGAGGTTTGTGTGCACATTCGCATTACAGATCTGGCTTATTTGTACGCAGACTGTTGGTTCCTCACTTGTAAAGCAGAATGGAGAACAGTTTTTAGCAAAATGTCTGCCAAGATGGAGATGCGATCACCAGTCTAGCAGACAGTAATGCAAGTCGCAGACTACTGTGGTCTTCACATGCTTTACCCTTGACAGATATAATGAGTGTTGAATCTTCCTTGTATACTTGCCACCAATGTAACATACCATCTAGGGACCAGATGCGTGAAATGTTGAGATAAAGGTGTTGTTTTGTCTTTGTTGCTTATGTTAAAAAGTTTGTTCAGTCTGTGTCAGTTAATTATAACCATCTGCCTG